CTGTTGAGGTGACTTGGCGAGGAAAGGAAAGGCCATACTGTTGCTTGGTGTCAAAGTGGTTGGCATCAGGTTGGAAATTGGCTGGTATGTCTCGGTTGAACTGTTTGGTTCCTTGTGGGCTTGGTGGTTCATGTCGGTACTGTGAGTCAGGATGCTGGTATGTTGCTCGTGGTGGTGTGTGCGGTGCTGAATGCTGGTGCTGGTGCCAGTTCCACGGTCTGCTGGTGCTTCGCCACGACATGACTGTACAATGAAAGAACGATCGGAGCGGTACTTGAGCACGAATTAGCTCAGTCTGAAGAAACAGTTCAATTTTCAAGACATTCCAATAGCAACTGCTGCTTGAAGGTTAAAGGACATCATAATCTGTACAACGCACGGACGACTCGCTCGGTGTGTGTGAGCAAAGTTGCTCTGCTCACACTTGCACGTTATCAAGCTGCTATAAACTTCTGCTGAAACCAACTAATGAAAGCAATAGGTTCTGTCTATGCTGAACTAATCATGAAACCTTTGATGGTAGTATGGTGTCAATCCTACATGATGTTTGTTGAAGGACCCAACCACGCGCATAAAATCCACAACAAAAGCCAGGTCCTTTTTTCACCTCACGTGTGGTATGGACTCTGTGTTGAACAAGCTGGTGAAAATGTGTTGTGACAAGAATTTGCAAACCTGGTTTGCCGTTTAAAAACGAACATATTGTCGCTTGTTCACTTGGTGAAACTACGGGGCAAGAGCTGAGGTTTAATAACCTCTCATTTCCACATCGGTTTGTAAAGTCAGCCGCGGAGCATCTTCACGCATCAGATCACTTTGCGGTGGCTCTGTTGTGTGTGCTTGTTGTTCAAGAATCCAAATGGACTGAATGGATGCTATCGTAGCGTGGATACACCACCTTTTGTCCCTTGCCCGATGTACGATGCCATGCGTCTCGACCTCTTCCTGCTCTGTGTATGTGCCCCCGCTTGGGACGGCTTTGTGTGTTGCCCACAAGGTACCGCCAAGTACAAAAGGAACATGTGCCTTTCCGCTGAGATAGCGGTCTACTACTTTTTGAACGATGGTGCTCTCATCCATTGTTGCTGCACAGAAGAAGCCTTGAGATTGCCTGCCTGACATTGTTTCAGAACATGTTGGTAGTACCATCCCGTACAGTAAAGTTCCTAAGAAGCCTGTTTCACTGGTGGCGTGCGCCCAATGGTATTGGCAGTTGCTTGCTTGCGACATTGCTGTAGAGGTGCTGCGTGGCATGTTGCGTAGGTGTAATTGCCACACTCGGTATTTGTCATGCTGGTGGAACGTGATGCGGGCAAGCGTAGTTTGGATAGGCATCCCAGTTGTAACAATATATTTTGACAGTGTATGAATGATGTGTTCTTGTGGTAGGTCAATCCCTGGTGGGAAAGATGTTTCAAGCAAGGTAGCAATTTCACGAACACTGCTATCTCTGTCTTGCAAAAAACGAAAGTACACTGATGGGGGGGTGAGTTCCTGAGCACGTGCTGCTGCTGAGTGCAAGCGCTGCTGAAGTGCTTTGTAATTGAACGGGTGGTAATGGTTTCTGATTGGCGGCTGCCATGGTGTAAGTACGGATGTGTTGCTGTCGATATTGCGTTGAACAGCTGCTTCAAGTGGGTCGTCGGAGTGGTCTTGTGTTGTTGTTGGTGTCATTGCTAAGTTAGATGATGTTGCCGTTGCTGTAGTAGTGGATCCGTGCCTGGGTTGTGGCGCCGTACTGGCCGGTATGGCGTTGGAAGTGGCTGTTCGTGTTGCCACTCGTAGGACTTGGGCTGATAATGTCTGTGGTGGCACCGTTGTCGGTTGTGGCGCTGGTGGCGGTGGCGGAGGTGGTAGTGGTGGTGGTAATAGTGGTGGTGGTAGTGGTGGTGGCGGTAGTAGTGGTGGTGGTAGTGGTGGTGGCAGTAGCAGTGGTGGTGGCATTATTGTGTGTGCTGGTGTCTGCGGTGTTGGGCTTGCTATGTTCCCAGACTGCGTGGGTGCTTGGTGTTGCTGTCGTCGAGTGGATGAACGCTGATGATGGTGATGCTTAGCGTGTCTGGATCTGGGTCTGGACGATGTGCTGGGATTTCGTTCTGACCGTTTTGCCCTTGCTCTGCTGCGTGACTTGCGGTGATATTGTCGGCGATGTTGACGCCGTGTGCTTCGACTTCTTCTTCGGCTCCCACGCCTAGATCGTGGAGTATTTGAGCGCTTGCGTCGCCGGCTGGCGTGATGTGGTGAATGTTGTTCCACTCGTTGAGGTTGAGCGCATGTAGAATGAACAGGTGGCTGTGTGGCTAGTGATGGTAAGATATTGTCTGTGTGGCTGGGTTTTGCTGTGTGTTGATGTGCTGGCGATGTGTGCTGTCCATAGTCAAAAAGGGAGCCAGTCAGGAAGTCTGGATAGTTTTGGCTTGTTGTTCCAAACAATGTAGCAGGAGCTGCTGCTGGCAATGGTGGTTGGTAAGCTGGAAAAGGTGCTGGGGATGCTGTGGCTGGAATCATGTGCATATGTGCCGGGCTAGTAGGTGTTGGTGTATAGAGCTGCTGCTGTGCTGCTGGAACTGAAACTGGAAATGTTGAGTTTATGGCAAATGGCGCTGCTGTGGATGTTGTTGGCATGGTCAGCTGAGATGTTGTTGATAATGCTTGCTGAGGAGTTGGGTATGAATTTGTTGGTGGTGTCTGTGTGTTTGGTGTCCACGGTGGTGTCCCAAACATGTGTCGATACATCCAGTCTGCTGACGACGGCATATGCTCCATGAGGTAAGCGCAAACGCGGCTACTTGCCCACTGGTGAAACTCAACTGCGGAATCAAATGAAACAATACTGTGGTTGAAGCTTGTTAGGGGGAATGACACGAGGAATTCTGAAATGAAAACTCTGAGGAGGAATCTGATGGAAAAATCTGGCTTCGAAGATCTGGTATCAAATCTGGTTCTGAAGAGTGAATCTGTGCAGTGGTTTGACGCATGGTGCGAGATCTACTTCTGTAGCATGATAAGGTGCGAACACCTTTGAACCGAATTCCGTTGGATCAACCGGCGCGGTGTAACTCTGAACAAAATCTGGTATCCCCAGCGGGCGCACCGCCAAGCTTCCCTGGCACTGTATCAGAAATCCAGGTGCGTGAAAAGCACTACACACTTAGAAACACCCCGAAGGGAGACGATGAAGTGAGATGAAATGAAAATTCATGTTTCCTCATGCTGGGTTTTTGGCTTTGCCCAGTTGCCATACTGAGATTACTGCAGGTACACACGGTTGATCAGACCGTGCATCCCACTCCAAGGCATAGCTTCATTGCATTGGGTTTGCCAAGGAGTGCCCAATGCCCCTGCTCGTTGGTATACTAATTCAAAACGAACGATCGAAACCCATGTGCTGCACGCCTGAAGATGCACAGATGTGTCGGATTGGAACTTATATGCAACATGGACTTCTTCGCGCTAGTTACCTTGAACATGTGGTCCCAACCGAACTAATCACCAGAACATTCTCTTTGATTCAGGGTTCAGCACATACACTCACTCACAAGACACGCAAATCCACGGATTGAGGAAGAAACATGCTGGTGGCGCGTGATAGGACAATCATCAAACTTACCAGGTCACCAAGGCAATGCTGGGCACTGACCTTTCGGATCTTATACTAACATACATGCAAAGACTGCTGCGAACTGGGTTGAACATGCTTAGCTGTTATGATGTTTTTCGATAGACTTGCAAGTTCGTAAATCTACGGTCGAACCACTCTCCGCGATTTCGCAAGATGCCTCACGGTGCAGTGGGTTTCTTCGTGCCAGCTATCTAGAACATGTAGTCCGAACTGAACTAATCAACATAACATTCCCTTTGATTCAGGGGTCGGCACACACACACACACATACACACACACACACACTTGTTTTTAAACATCACCAAAAGACGGAAAATCTTTGCGACAAAAATATGGTGGTTCAGTGGTTCAGTGTCGCAGATTTTTCCGCATAGAGGGCGCAGACAAAAAGTGTTTAAGCACCCAAGCATGGGGATTTCAAACCGACTACCATGGGGGTTGAACAACCAAAATCCAGGACAGCCAGGGCGCTGTCAAAAGATAGGATGTAGAGGGACACATGCATAGTATTTGATGTCCCAAGAAATGGTGGCTTGGTTTCAAGATGTTTCAAGTATCCAGCAAAGGTGGACATTCAAACAATTGGGATGATCTGGGATGACGTGCACCATGTTCAGATCATGTCCTTCCCCAGATGCCTAGGGGTTATAGGGTGGTTCACTACTTGGAGGATAGGAGTAGTGACCAGGGTTATTTGACCCCGATGTCTTTAGGAGGAAGTGGTCGCCCCCCCCATGACCTGAAAAGATAGTGGAAATGGGTAGTCTGACTGACTCCATGATGAGTTTCCCATTGAACATATCGGCTGCGAATCTAACCTGGGATTTGCTGGTTTTTGAGGTGGCCTCTTTCTGTTGGCCCCACTTGGCATGCAGAGATCCCACGCTGTTGTTTTGTTCTCTGCTGTTTAAAGTTTGCGGTTTTTTTTTTTCTCCTTCCAAGAAGGTTTTCCCTGCCTGTCCTAACAGTGGGGGATCCCATGTTCATAGTGTTTTATCATGTTTAATCGAACTTGTGCATGTTCCTCCAAGTTTCAGTGCTGGAGGGCAAAGACAAGGATGATACATCATTGGGAATAGATTGGACCATTGCTTAAAGTCCTGTATCAGGAGAACCATGACCGTTGCCATTTGTTGTAGGTAAAGGATCCAAAAAATCACCATCTCCTGGATTTGGCCCCTTGATTCGACGGAGATCTATACAGTGATTCATTCATGTTAACTCCCAGATCCAACTCTGGATGTGTTCGATGAAGCTAGAACAATCTTTCAACATCTTTCAACAGTCCCAGAGATCGGGAAATCTACAGGACAGCCCTATCTTTGGAGCGCAAAAAAAGGGGGGTTCGCTTCCATAAATTTCCCATGATCCAATTCAGGACCAGCCGCAGATGCTCTCGGTACCCACGGACGAGAGCGAATTCGTCACCGGTTTCAATGTGCAGTGGAAGGAAGAGGAGTCGACGCCGCTGCTGCGACACGTGAGGCCGAGCGCACTGGTAAGATGCACATGAAATAAGCTAGTTATGTATATATATATATTTAATATACATAATATCTCCGTGCAAGGGTCATGTTCTGGAATATATATGTGTATATGATATATGATGATATATGTATAGTATATATTAATTAATTACGTATATGTATATAAATCCTATGGATCCAAATGCTTCCTGGGCCAGGAACTTAACCTCCATAACATAGCCACTTTAAGATGTTGGAAGGCATGGGTCTTCTGCCGGAGGGTGCGCCACCACCACCGGCTGAATCCACTGGCTGGTTTTTCGTTTGCCCTGCTCTTCGTGGGAGGCTCGAGATGAACACTCTGCACGGTAGCAGGGTCGTTGCCAGCCTCCACGTAAGCTGTCGAGCTGGCCATCACATCAATGCTCGCATCGACGCCTGGCGCGCCTAGGAGTGGCGACCACAAACGATTCATCTAAAAATATCTAAAATGTATCCATATGTGGTGTGGCAACATATTATATAACAGTCTATAAATATCTATAAACCTACAATCTTAATCTGAATCTTTGTGGTGTCACTTGTGTTTGTAGATATATTAAAGTTGTATACATTTATGATCATGTATATGGACCAAGAAACACACACACATATATATATAGGCGATGTAAGCAGATCATAGCAGATCCATCACGTTCCAACAATGGTTTCTGGCAGGGTGTTTGTCAACACCATAGACGAAAAAACAACTAGTGCTATGATCAGTTTATCTGATAAAACAATAATAAACAATCCCTAAAACCACATTTTTTATTGCTATAAACCATTAATCCAAAAATGTGGTTTCTGACATTGTTTTACTAAGATTAACGTCATCGAAAGTCCATCCCAATTGCCACCACGCTGTTTTGCCGCAATCGGGGAAGGCTGGCCCATCTGGCCCATGGCCTCAGATGATGGTTGGATCATGTTGGGTGATATTCATACAGTATTATCCAACATTGGATATCACTGAATGAATATTATCCAACATGCTGGGTGATTCACTGAATGTGAGATTCATTATTCCCTCATTGGAAAATTTCTCAAAAAAACTCCAATTGATTACTTGTTTTGGGGAAAAGGGGCAAAAAAGTCTCTGGGCACGTCCGTTTCTGGACACGAAAAGTTGTTTTCTGGATGCAAAGAGAGGCTTTTCGGACGCTTGGACGCTCCCCTTTCATGCAGCGCCCGATTCAAAGATTTGACGGTAGGCACATGATTTCACATTACCGGTTTCAACTTATTTTTACCCCAGCAAAAATGGTGTAAAATGGTGCAAAATGGGTAAAAATGGTGTACCCCAGCTGTAGTTTGAAAGTTTGGGGTGTAAAATGGTGCAAAACCATTTGGGGCCTCCCTACAGACTGGTCGCTCACCGGTCCGATGCTGTGGAGAAAACTGGACAATGACCCGAAGCGGGTGGCATCTTGTTGTACGGTAACTAGATTTTAATCTGTGGAGGGCGGGCCAGACCACCCGGAGGTAGAGACAAATACCAGTTGTTATTTGTAAATCCGTATATTTAGATGTAGTTACCGTATCTTTTTTTTCGAGAACGCTCAAAAAATTAATGGTGTCTCTCAAAATTGGGCCCCAACTATGCCTATGCCAGCCAAGTTGGTCAGTTTGCCCGGTTTGCCCTTGTTTTTTTTCTTCTTTTGTCGCCTTTGGGCCATTAAGGACATGGACCAGTTCGGATATACAAAATACGTGCAAGGCAGCGTGGATTTCTGGGTGGGGTGCCTCTGGTGAGTCTGGTCAAAAAAAACAGCATTTTGACTTTGGGAATCCTCCGGTTTGCCATAGAAAGCCCGAAACAGACTTTTCAAAGATAAATCATAATCAACTTATCATAATTATATCACATCATATATCACATATCATGCCATATATATCCATATATCACATATCACATATCACGCATCACATAATAGATCACCTATCATATATCACATGTCACATATCACATACCACAAGTCACAAATCATATATCATATCATATCGTATCATATCACATCATTCCATATCAACATCATAATATAAAATACTTGCGCAGGGACCCATGAGACTAGCATTATCAACAGAATCATCGCTTTCCTGATGTTACTGGACCAGCCCTGCATTCCACGATCATGGATCTGAATCCACGTGGCATTGTCGGGGAAGACGATCCGCCCATTCTTGGCTGATCATATGCGATCATGTGGCCCCAGATGTACATTTTTGTTGCACATGTGTACACACATACATAATCATAACAGTCATTAACTGAGTCATAGCATATATCATGTAATATGGAGATGTTCTTGCTGTTGTGGCTTGCATCGTCACATATTCCTGACATTTTTGACCACCAGTTCTGTTGCTACATGCCAGGTGAAGTCAGCGGCCTGGCCCGTGCCCGGCCCGTGCCACTGCAGCGCCGCGGCAACGGGGACACGGTGGATTTGATCTCGGACGTCGGCAGCCAGGGCATCACCCTGCGCACGGACGAACAGCGCCAAGGATGCACGCAATAAATCCTTAATCTGGGTAAAACAATGCCACAAACCACCCATGACTGGGAAGGGTAACCATACCACCTATAAAAATGGTGATGACTGGGGGATTGTTATTTTTGTCGTTTTTCCCACCTGCAGTATGAATTGAATATATGACTTGAATAGATATTACAAATGATGTCATATACTTAGGGTTACTTGGGCATTTTACCATGTCCAATCTCCTTTGTTGATTAACCTGGGGTGCCCTCTGGCATTTTCTTTTAAAGATAGCCATTGAACATGATCAATGAATGTAGATGATTTACCTATTAAGCATGATCATTTTTCATGGCTATTAGCGGAGAGTGTTTTTTTTTTAAAGGCATGAGAAGACCAACTAATCAGCTAAAATTGTATACTTTTTGCAGGGTATCATTGGACATGTTTTGACGTTTTCTCATGTATTTGAGGGTCCCGGAAAGGATCAACGAATCATTTCGGAATTGCAGCCGCCATATGGCCATGTCAGGGGTTTCTGCCATCAATTTCCTGGACCACTTATATACTGGTTGGTGGTTTGGAACATTTTTTTTTATTTTTCCAATATCGGGAATAATAACCCCAACTGACTAATATTTTTCAGAGGGGCTGAAACCACCAACCAGTATATATATATATATCTCTTTCTGGTGCGCGACACGTTAAAAAGGGCAGTACGCCCTGAGTCACTCATATGGCCAGCCATGCTTTCCATATTTTCTCTTATCAAAGAACCACAGCAATACTCACTGGATTGGTTTAGGGGGAAATTCACAGGAAACGATGAGGAAAACCATGGTTTTCGGTTAAGATGTTTCTTGAATCCTGTGAAATACACCGAGGTTTAAATCGGAATTTGATTGGCACAAGCTCGGTGGTAGCTACCTGGCAGCAGACTACTTGAGCACCGTAGATGAAGAAGGACTCGGACAAATGACACCCTGTGATGCAGACGAAGCTTGGACAGAGCCGGGCAGAGGTGACTGGTGGTCACCAGTTCTGGGTCGGGGCATATACAAAGACAGAAAATGATGGAAAGGTATTTTCACAGATAGCAAAAAAAGTAGGTTTAAACATGCATAGATTATAAATCAATGATCATGCTTTCATAGGGTTTCTGAGCAGTACCGCTACTCAAGTCAGTTTTGAAACCCCAATTCGGCAGGTTTCATCACGGGAAAACAGTTTTACACAAGGAGCCCGTGCTTGAGCCTCTGGTCCCAAGCTATTTAGAGGTTCATTTCTGGTGCTTCTCGGACCCCCAATACGTGTTGCCTTGTTGAACAATTCTCAATAAACAATGGTTATTCTGATTAATGAGGGTATCTATCGCAAAACCGGTGAATTGCCACAAGTTATCCAGATACGTCCATGGATTTTGATCAAGACAAGGCGCCGGTGCAAGAAACGCTTGCTATTGGACATTATTATCTTTGGGGGTTGATGCTCACTTCCAGGGGTGAAAAAGTTCATCACGGTGCAACACCTGCACATGTTTCATGTTTTTTTCCAAAGACAGCTCGGTCTTTGGAGTTCTCACAGGAAGAGATCAGTGCGCGGGAGATCTGTGCAAAGCACTTCGAAGGGCCAGAAAATGAGTTCTTTCCGGATTGCGTTTTTGATGTTGCTTGGTTCATCTTGGTTCTTTTTCCTGCACGGCTTCAGGTGCAAAAGCCTTTTTTTTCTTGGGTTCACGCTTTCAACTGATTGTATATGTAATTTTATTCTGTGTATGTATGTGTGTGATTTGTGTATGTGTTCATTTACATCTATATCGGATTATATAGGCATATATATATATATATGTACCACTATTGCAGGTGTAAGTCATTAGTTGTGGTACAACATGATGCACTCATATATGTTAACATATATCGTCATTGTATTTACAATATATATATATATATGTGTATACACATATAACTCATATAGCATGTGCTTGTGTGTGCAAGTGCATGGATATACAACATATACATTTTTTGAAGTCCCCCTTATGGATGATCCCAACGGGGGTGTCAGCTAGCAAGATCGGTTAGACGGTCGTGAAAGCAGTTGAAGGGGTGAAGGGTCTCTATTCTCGTGTTGTTATGTTTTGTTTATTTCAATGGCCGGTTTCCCTGATTAACGATTCATCGAGCAATGCGAGTTTCAATGGCCGGTTTCCCTGATTAACGATTTCCCTGATTTCAATGGCCGGTTTCCCTGAAACCCTAACACAAGCGAATGTCTCTTTGATCTCAAAAGACACTTGAAATCATGTCGGAAAATGAAACAGTAGACTTCCCAAAAGCAGAGGGCCTCCTTCTTTCCTGAAGGGACCCGAATCATTTGGGAACAGCTCTCAAAGTCTCAAAAGTGCAATGTTTGACCTCCAAATCTCTCTCTCTCTCTCTATAAATAAATATATATAAATATATACACAGATGGTTTATATAAATATGTTTAAATATCTTTATGTATTTACCAAAAACATAATCAATTTTTATATGCTTCCACAAGAGCTCCCGAGGTTTGTGCTGGTGGTGGTGAAGTTTCAGCACTGCTTTTAGCCGCCATTGCCTGAACCAGAAGTGTTCGTCGGTGGCATGCGGCCCTGGGGCTGCCCCCAGGCAATCAGATGGATGATTTTGGCACCGGTAAAGCGATGGCTGGAAGTCACAGGAGATTATCGTAGGATAGCTTCCAGTGGGAAGAAATTGTTTACATATCATACAATGTTACATCGTTTTTCCCCCTTCTTGTGTTTATACATTTATATGGGCTTATTTTTTTTTTTGCCTGCTTCCAGCCTTATTGTTTTTGCTGTGCAGATTCCGGAGTCATCCAGAGTCTGCGTTGTGCACATTTATTGGCACATGTCATTACGCACATGTGCAGGGGAGATGGACTCAAGGACTCAAGGATGGGCATAGCAGTCTGACTGTAGGAAATCATCAATTGGAGGATTCATCGGATGCCACTTGACCAGAAGGTGTATAGGAACCCGCAAGAAGATAGAACAGTAAAATCCTCGTAAAAGAGTGATCAATTGTTTTTCTATCTTTTGGAGGTTGCTATGTTGATATATACAGTAAATATTATATATATAGATTGTATACATATCGAAAGGGAGTTATGCACGTGTCAGGATCATCTCCAGTTTTTGTCGCACACAGCAATTCGACAAGGATCGAGCTGTGTTTGCGTGCCATCCGGCCGTGTGCGGGAACGAAAAAGACTTGATTCTGTTGGTGCTTTCAGATGGAGGTTTCATGAAGTTTCCATAAATGAGGGTATTTATCATATTTTATAATTGACAATCATATGAAAATGGATGATTTGGGCTTACCTTGGATCCATTTGTGAAAACTATTTCTACCCTTTTCTGTTGCAATTCCATCCTCACTTTTTGGGGATGATGGACCCAGCTGATTGGTATTCCTGGGATTTCCTGGGGATTGGGTTGAAAGCAACGATGAGCTTCAGATGCGTCAAAGGCATCCAGTTTCTCTGTGTTTTGAGCTGAGAACGAACATATGGACCAAAATTATGGACCAATTGCTATCACAGTCACCCATCCTTTGAGCCTTTTGTGTGATGTTGACCATGTCACCCCCCAGATCCTCAAAAAGTAAGTGAAACCGTCACCTGTTTGAGTGGGCATACAAAACACAGATGATTTTCACTCAGAAATGATAGCATCCCTCGTAACGTCAATCCGCATTTTGCTAACCCCCTGGGCCGTTTAGTTATTGACATATTGAGGTACCATATGGTACTATTTTAGAGGCAGATGAAGTCACTTTCTTGGGGCACAGATCTGTAGGTGCTGACGATGGATTTTATGGGCTGCTAGGAGCGAGACCCTGGCGACTGGTGACGATGATTCCTGATGGATTGCAAGATTGAGTGATGGATTCCAGGGCAAATTATATACGGGACACCATAGAAACCCTCAATTAGCTGAACCTTCGGGATGGCGATGGAGAGAGATAGAAACCCTCAGTTTCACCATCAAAGTTGGGGTTTCCTGTAGATTTTGTTTTGAACATCAGCGAACATCCTTTGTCGATCTTTTTCAGGGAATGATTCTCTGATGGTGATCAGAGCGAATGAGCGACTTCTGTGGACGTGAGAATAGATCCAATAGGTGCGAGTCATGATCATGGTAATCATCATGATCATGATCATGATGACTATGCTGCTGCTGCTGATGATGATGATGAGGAGGCGGAGGAGGATGAGGATGAGGATGAGGAAGACCCCAACATATTGGGCATAATATGCTCCATTTTCAGATGGCCCCAAACCATATTGAAGTGGTTACACCCTGATTATATGCCCAGCAAACAGTTGGCAAATTTTCAAAACCCCCATTGATTGTTTGTGAAATCACCTTTGATCCATTCTGACTAATGACGTCTCATGAATTCTCATGACATTTCCTCCTTGCGCCATGGCCACGTCTCTTATGGCAGGAGCTTGGGCACCCGGATCTTTGCAGAAGATGCGACTGGCTTTGTGCCTGGTCCTGTTGTGGGACAGCTACGAGAAGTGGTCCCTGGCCGCTCGGTTGGGATCTGAACCCTTTAATATCCTTTAATCGTGGGCCATCATGGCATCTCTAGACATAGCTGGACCTGCACCACTAAGGATGCGTTTGTTCAGAGGGCTCTTGGATGGAGAAAGACTATATATTTATATAGTAGGATCAGAATTATAGATATATAAATGGATCATTTCTGCATTATGGTGCCAAAAGATAGAACAATAAGACATCATTTATGTTTATTGACCAAATTACCAAGGCGTCACTGCGACGTCGCCATAGATCATGTTTTGGGAGGATCATCCCAAAATGGCCACACATTTCTGGTCGGTGAACTATTTTGTTGATATCTATCCATCTATCTATATATCTATCTATCGATCTATCTATTTATCTATCTATCTACCTACTGTATCTATCTATTTATCTACTGTATCTATCTATTTATCTACTGTATCTATCTATCTATCTATCCATCCTTCCATCCATCCATCCATCAATCGATCTATAGATCAATCGATCTATCTATCTATCGACCTATCTATCTGTCTATCTATCTATCTGTTAATATATCTATCCACCCATCCATCGATCTATCGATCCATCTATCTATCGATCTATCTATCTGTCTATCTATCTATCTGTCAATCGATCTATCCATCCATCTATCGATCTATCTACTTGTATCTATCTATCCCATCTATCTTATCTATCTTATCTATCTTTTCTGTCTATCTATCCTATCTATCCTATCTATCCTATCTATCTTATCTATCTATCTATCTATCCATCCATCTATCAATCTATCGATCTATCTATCGATCTATCTATCTGTCTATCTATCTGTCAATCTATCTATCCATCCATCAATCGATCTATCGATCTATCGATCTATCTATCTGTCTATCTATCTATCTGTCAATCTATCTATCTATCTATCCATCCATCTATCTATCTATCTATCCATCCATCCTTCCATCCATCCATCAATCGATCTATAGATCAACCGATCTATCTATCTATCGACCTATCTATCTGTCTATCTATCTATCCTTCAATATATCTATCCATCCACCTATCGATCCATCGATCTATCTATCTATCGATCTATCTATCTGTCTATCTATCTATCTATCTATCTGTCAATCTATCTATCCATCCATCTATCGATCTATCTATCTATCTATCCTATCTATCTTATCTATCTTATCTATCTTTTCTGTCTATCTATCCTATCTATCCTATCTATCTTATCTATCTATCTATCCATCCATCTATCAATCTATCGATCTATCTATCGATCTATCTATCTGTCTATCTATCTATCTATCTATCTATCTGTCAATCTATCTATCCATCCATCAATCGATCTATCGATCTATGGATCTATCTATCTGTCTATCTATCTATCTGTCAATCTGTCTATCCATCCATCAATCGATCTATCGATCTATGGATCTATCTATCGATCTATCTATCTATCTGTCTATCTATCTGTCTGCCTGTCTGTCTATCTAATCTATCCATCCATCAATCGATCTATCGATCAATCGATCAATCGATCTATCTATCCATCCATCTATCGATCTATTCATCTATCTATTTATCGATCTATCGATCTATCTATCGATCTATCTATCTGTCTATCTATCTATCTATCCATCCATCCATCAATCGATCTACCGATCTATCGATCTATGAATCTATCTATCTATCTATCCATCCATCTATCGATCTATCGATCTATCTATCGATCTATCTATCTGTCTATCTATCTATCTGTCAATCTATCTATCCATCCATCAATCGATCTATCGATCTATGGATCTATCTATCGATCTATCTATCAATCTGTCTGTCTATCTGTCTATCTATCTATCTTTCTCTCTATCTATCTATTGTACTATGTTGTCCTCTCTCTCTCTTTGCTAATTATAAATGCAAGCAAATTACATAGAAATCGAAGGAGTTCACTGTTCCAGTGTGTTCCATCTTTTCGACTCCAGGCAAGAGGAAAATTGCCACCGCCAAGGTTCCAGCCTTTTACGAGAATGAAGCCTCCACCTATCCCAGCTTCGCTCTTGAAGAGGCCATGGCCACGAGAAACCACTAAGTCACTAAGTAATATCGAATTTCACTGGCTGGCTGCATATAGTTTGTTTGATAGATCACCGAAAGGGAAGATTCAGCCCACCGGACTGCTGCATCTAGGCGCAGCCAATGAGACCGGATCAAAGGGTCAAAAGTTGTGACACCAAGTTGCAGCAAAAGCTGCAGTATGCCGGAAATCAAGGGCAAATATAAGAAGTACAATGGTTTCAGGACCTCATTGTAATTTTGGTAGAACACCATCAAACCATCCCAAAATACTTGAGGATTCGGCCGTGAAGCGCCCGACAGGATGCCGGAGTGGCTATGGTGGCATTGAACCCCTTTGCTTATGGTGCAGGTGCCAACTGGCAATGGCTTATGAGTTGGGTCATGGGGGGTCATTCATAAGGGAATATGTGCAATAAACCTGGGCTTTTGGCTGCAAAAAAATGGGAGAAATATGGGTTACAGTAGAGCTTCTCTTGAACCAATTGCCTGCCCTTCCTAGCCGGGACTTGTCCCATCTAACCGCCCCAAGCATTCTTCGCAGGTCCATGGTTCAATATCTATTTATGATACATGATGATGCCGTATTTTGTAGGATGAGCCATTTGCCAGTTGCTTATTGGCGTTCACCACCAGGCATTAGATAGGACCACCTCTTACGAGGCGGAGATTTGTTCAGCGTGCTGAGGCGTTGTATGGCCGCGCGTGCTGCTGTGCATCACTGCATTGACAGCCTGTGGCATGATGAGGCTTGTGCTTGGATGTTGGAGGCTGTTTGTCACCGTGTCATGATGTCAACCGCCATCAAAAGAGGATGTTGCCGAGATTCCACGGCTGTTTCATCTTTTCTCCCTGTGCATCGAGCCCAAAGGGAAATGAAATGCAAGGATCTCCTTGGATCTACTTGGTTATAGTTTCAGTGTTCTTTTCTCCTTTCCATCCCTATTTTGAATCTGGACTCCCATATGGTATCAAGGCCTGTGACTGGAATGGCCACCATCGGCCATCCTTACCTGCTCAGGTGGAGGTGGTGCTCGGTGGTGGCGTATCTCTTGGAGTCTTTTGTGGTTTTTCGGCTTCAAAGTATCCGCTTGTCTGTCTGTGCATTTCCAGCCTGATTTGTGTTTGGTTTGTTTGTGGATCGTTGTAGTGTTTAGGGCCTCATTATGGGATCTTTGGTCTGGCGTGTTCTCTGATCATAGCATGTTTCTTGGATGTTTCGTTACAGTTTTCCCTGCAACTTTGCGGAAAGCCAGGTGCTGCGGAATGTCTATGTGAGCTTCATTTTCGAGCCTTGGGCACGATTCTGTGGGCGTTGGAATCTCAATCCACCTCCCAGTCAACCCCAGCAAAGAAACAGTTCACCGTACAACTAATTACTGTACCCCTTTAACGAAATACCGTTTTAGTATTGGATCTATTCATCATAATTGGGGTCCCTAAAATATGATGACAAAATACCCACACTATACTTAGGCTTATTGTCCCTACTTCAGGATGGTTAAAGGCTTAGGCCATCTGAAGCCCCCCTCATTTGTTTGGGCCGACGGGGCCCGTCCGAGGATCGATATTTGTTGATGGCCCTACTCTTCAGCAGCTGCCTTCCCTATGCCAAGTCTGGTGGCTTCTCTTGGGCAATGGTGACTTCGGTCCAATTGGTTCCCATGGGTTCCCAGGGTTCTAAGTGGCAGACGCTGCTGGTCATGGTCAAAACCGAAGGCATAGAACCTGAAAATGAGGGATGCCTCAAATATGGCCGTTTTCACAGAGAAAACTGATGCTAGAGCGTGAGATTCAGAAATTTATACCCTCAGCTACTTCGGGTGTAGACTGTGCAACCCTTGAGGGTTCTTGTCACAGGGTCTGAACAGGTCCATTTTTCCGACCTTTGGGTATTATTCAACTTTAGACCTTCGGCGTTATTCACATGTTGGCCCATTATGTGGCAAAGAGCAGATGCACATTTTCGTATAATTTTCTTGGACCAATCTTTGGCATTTTTTTTTGAGGGGGAAATGGATCAAAATATGGGGGAAAAATAAAAAATCACGCGAAAAAACATGCAGTTCCTTCATGAAAAACACAGTTTCCTGAAACATGGTGACCATGCAGGCTCACTTTTGTTGACACGGAACATGTCAAAATCATGTTAATTAATATGTTTCTTCGATTTTCTTAGAATGGTGTTGCCTGGGTTGGGCATTTTTGTACTACTGTAGTCATATCTTCGGTATTTGGTCTTGGAGTAGATAGTTTGGTGAACCTTGCGGTACAAACTCCACAACTCAAAATTCAATATTGGGCATTCTTGCTGCTTTTGCTGCCTTCCGGCCCCGCCAAGTGGCTGCCTTGGGTTGCCATTTTCAGGCATTACTGCACTTGTTATCCTTTTCTTGGAACAGTTCACGTGCTTGCTTTTACATCCTCTTGTTGCCTTTGAAAAAACAATAGGGACAATGGCTGCTGTATGCACAGAAATTGGTGGCATGCGATTATGTCTTCAGACCTCAGACGATTGCGTATGCAAATTAAGGTCTGTAATAGGACAAATCCTGGAACATGACTTCAGCTGCAAAAACCAAAAAAGACCCCACCATCCAGGGTCTAGACTAGACGAAAGTAAACAAAGCCCCTGCCAAGTAGTTGAGAGTATGAAAATATCAGAGGCACTAACACGGAGCCTCCCCATATTGGCAAAAGGCAAAAGGGTCAAACTTGAGTGCTTGGCAAAGAATATCGAATGTCGCAAGTTGATTGTCTTTTTGGCAGTAGTGGTGGTTTGCTTGATTTGCTTGACCCCAGAGGGTTCAACCAACACAACCAACCATATCCCTGCATGTTTTGTGATTTTGGATATTTTGGTTTGCCTAGCCAACCTACAAATGTTGTAGTTGGCGGTTTGGGTTGCGATTCCTATAGGAACAGCCCCAAAAGCACCGAGAAGAACTGTCGGGGACTCGACAGTACCGGACCCTGGTCCCCGGTCCCTGAGGTAATGTTCAGGATGCAGCTGGAGACTCGCTGCAGATGTGGCAAACCCACCAGTTTGATCATTCTCCGAATGGCTTTCCCCATGGGTTTTCCCCCTGGAGCAGTTTACCCCGGCATCCATTGGATTCCACCGCTCTCTGGTCTCTGTCGTTTCCCAGGCCTGGATCTATTTGGATGCGGGCTACGGTAAGGTCATGGGCGAATGGAACTGGTCCACTGAAGTGCCGGCGCTGGCCGTGCTTTGACGCATGGGCCGCATGGGTCAAAAGACAGAACCCCCTACTGAGCATTTGTAAATGGATGTTCATCCCTCTAAAACTTGGTATTTTTGTGAGTAATCTGACATGATGATACCTACGGTATTATATGATAATGAAGTATAATTATCATATTAACATACCTTATACCAATTCATATCAATTCCCATATCATATATGTAATATATCTGTTTATTTATTTATTTATCTATCTTTAGATATCTATAGGCATTGATCATGGCCATAGGCCATCGCAATCCTAAGGTCTACCTGCAAGGCGCTCCCTTTGGCCGCGACTTGATTCATTTGGACCGGCAGATCTGCCGTGGTCTGGCCGTGCGGCTCTTGACCGTCGTGGCTGCATGGGTTCGGAAAGCCCAGGGGCGGGGCTGGAGGATGTTGGTTGAAATGGTAGGTTGCCCTGCTGCAATCAGGATTCTGCTTGTTATTTCATGAATGTACTCACTTATTATTACATAAGTAAGGATTAATTTATATGTCAATCATATTTCATATTATTTCATAGATATTTATTTTTGCAATGGAAATTCATGAGCTAGTCTTAGGAATCCCGCTGCTGGGTGGTTTTAAATGGTGCCAATTGGCTTTTTGTCCCTCTTGGGCCTAGGTAGTTGGCTAGATATATTTTGGAGGACAAAAATAAAAAAATACAGGATACATGCAAAGTTCCAAAAGATTTTGTTGGGTCACTCCAGAGCTTTGTTGATCAGACGCGGGGCTGTTCGCTGCTTCATTTTGATCATTTTGTACACACGTTGCAAACACTTACGAATTGGGATGGTCCTACAGTCCTAGAGCTACTAGGGCTGGCTCAAGAAAACAATGATACCTGACATTGTAACGCTGGATGTACGACCCAAAACCAGCAGCCATTCGCAGAACCAGTTTGTGCTCCACTTTGCAATATTAGCAGATTCCGCAATTGTTAACTCAACTGTTAACGCGCTATTAACTACAGTTATATGAGTTATATGCTACTATATCACCCATAAACCCAACAGCTCACAAAGTTATGTGCGTCAACTTAGCTATCCCTCACCTGGTCAAGGTGGAAGTCTTTGTTGGTCCGGCCCTGCTAGCAGCAGCACTGGCTCCTGGCTCCTGGGCTGGGGCTACCCAGAGGTGGAAATCGCACAGATTAGGAGCCTAAAAAGTGGGGATTCAACATGTATCTCATGTATAGCGTCTATGTAGCGTCTATTTCTGTACAATTACGTGTATCAGTTGGGGCGGGATCAATACAAAAATCAACACATGAATCTGCATTTTTTTCCCCACATGCAGGACACACACAGATATATATATATATGTATGTGTGTGCGTAAATACATAATAAAGATAACGATATTATACATACACACATGAATACACCCTGGCTTAGATGCAATATAGCTCTGGACTTAGACCATTCCGAGGCGGCAGTAACGTTATTTAGGAGCTGACATTTACTTGACACCATTCTTAAAGTTAACAGCGAGGAATCTTCCACTTCCCCATGAGGATGGTTACAGAATATATGATTGAGATATGATTGAGATATAGCATGATCTAGCCATTTTTACTAATTTAAACTGGGAATGGACGCAGCATGAGTGTCCCCAGATTGCACAGACGCTTTGGCAGGAAGAAGCTCAGCCTAGGGAATCAATGAACATCCCGAGAAACTTGGTTTAGAAGATGAAGTTTCGTCTAAGGGAGGGGGTCGCTCTTGAAGAGGATTCTCCTATATTCATCTATATCTATATCAGTCTATATCTCAATTAATATCCGATTAGATCTCAATGAGCCAAACAAAGTTTAGTGAAGGTTGGCTTTCTGCCCTTCACCATTGTGGTTTTGCTCCACATAGGCTGGACCAAGCTGCATTTGAATGAGTTTGGGTAGGCGGTAGAGATAGAGGTTGGATTCAGGAAAGTTTTTCTTATATATTCAATGGTTGCTCCACTCCTGATTTGTAGACATAAACAGGGCTTACACACATGCCATTTTGAATAAAAAGTTGTCACCTGTGGGGGTGGCATTAACATATGGGGGTGGCATTAAGACAGCCTGGCGGGTTGATGCTATCTCAGATTGGTAGATGATCTCTAGGACTTTCCCATCTAACATCATGCCGACTCATCGGAAAACATCTCTCAAATACCCATCCCAGGGAGTAGATTCGAACCATTGGAGCACCCCTATAACAGGAAGATCAACGATATTTAAAGACGGACATTGGAGAACGGCGAAATATGCCCATGATGGCTGATAAGAGCCTCCGAAATACCTGCTGATCAAACCCTCGAACGCTGGAAAGACCAGAATATCTGGGACGTTGGCTGGTGGGTATGCACCGTTCCCGAAAAGTGTTCCTTGTCCATCCCTGAATGGGATGATGTGCTTCAATTGACGAGCAATATATAGCAATATCCTTTCCACCTTCTCACCCCCGCATTGTAGGGTAGGGACATAGTTTGATTGATCAATCATCAATCCCGATTTTAGCCTGAATTCATGCATGTATCATCATGTATCAATCCCCATCATGTTGCACCAGACCTGCCGTTGGGGTCACCTTGTCACCAGCCTGCAGGCATCGCGACTTGTATGGAGGGGGGATTCGCCATCTGCTTGGTGGCCTGTGGAACCTGGCTGGCAACGCTTCCGGAGGCTGGACTGGATGGACTGGATGGATGGCTAGGACGATGACTTACAGCTTGGAAAGTGGTGGAGTGAATTTGGGTGCTGTATGTGTTGAAGATGTCTGAATATGTCTGAATTATGTGTTGCTTATTTTTATTCTTCGACGCTACTGGAAATGAACAACATGTGAGTGAGTGCTGGACGGAAGGGGTTTTTGACGTGTGGCTCCAGGGTAGGGCTACCCTCTGAAAACTGAGTTGGAACCTTGACCCTCTGGTGATCAAGCGTGGAATATTGGGCTATTTTCGGACAAAACCCCAATAGGGTCCGGAGGATGACTTTTCCATGGGACATCGCAATCTTTGGGTCACAGGTCATTGGTGGTGGGTCAAGAAACAATAGTTTCACATGTTTTCCATGTGAAAGACGTGATAAGTGATAGCCCATCCAGAAGATTGCGGAAGAACCAGCCATGGTTTCATCTTCACTCCAGATTTCACTAGGGTTTTGAATGATTGTAGTGACTCTGATCTATAGCCATAGCCGCTATAGCCCATGGCAATTTAGACTTCTCTTGATCGATTGCCCTTGAGGCGCGGCATCCGCCAGCCCGGTGCATGGATCGAGGCTGAGCTTACTGCGACCTCACGGAATAACCTCACTGGAATAGTTAGTATACGGATATATAACTACCCTCAAATGGCTTCATTTCAGGTTGGTGTATATAACGTTATTCTAATTTGCCCAGTATATCCCAGTATATATATATATATATATTATACATACATACGCAGGACGTTTGGATTCTCATTCTGACAACCGGCAGTTTTGACCCCGACCAGCTTTAGAATTGGTTGATGGGAAATGCTCCGAAAACACTGTTTTTCCCGAGAGCGCCTGAGTGCAGGGTTCTTCTTAAAAAAAGGAGCTGAGATGTGCTGAGATAATACAGCTTCACATCTTACATCTGCACATCTTACATCTTCACAATCTTCACACGTTTGCTTCTTCACATCTTCACATCTTCACATCCTGCATCTTCACATCCTGCATCTGTTGATCTTTATTCACATCTTACGTCTTCACATCTTGATTCTTCAGATCTTACTGTACATCTTCACATCTTAGGTCTTCGTATCTTACGTCTGTGCATCTTACATCTTCAGATCTTACTGTGCATCTTCACATCTTACGTCTTCGCATCTTACGTCTGCGCATCTTACATTTTCGCGTCTCACATCTTCAGATCTTACATTTTCACATCTTATATCTTCAGATCTTACATCTGCAGATCTTGCATCTTCACATCTTATATACGTCTGCAGATCTAACACCTGCAGATCTTGCACTCTCTTCTCTCTCTCTCTATCTCTTTTCTTTCGTCTGCTAATTTCTATTCTCTCTTAAGGCGGGGCGGTGGTCACAAGCGATCACGAAAATGCGACAGTTACTACGACGAAATGTGGTTCAATTGTCAAAAACTGAGGAAAATTGTGATTTTTGGTGCGTCCAAGGTGCCTTGGTGGCGGTCCTGCCAGCATAATGTGAGGTTTTCTTCTCAGAATTCTTCTCCCGCGGCGCGTTTCACCAGCATGATGTGATTTTCATCTCTATTTGTCTTGTTCCGCGCGTTCCGCCAGCATAATCCGAGGTTTTCTTCTGCGTTTTTCTTGTCCCGCGGCGCGTTCTGGCAGCATAATTTGAGTTTCCTCTCGCCCCCTGTGTAAGCTTTGATGCTTTGTAGTACGAAGCAGTACAGGATGTACTTTCTGCAAGCTTTCTGTGCGTAAAAGTGTGTAGAAAAGTGTCTGCGTGTAAAAGCGTTTGTGTGTAAAGGGGTTTCTTGTGTAAAAGCGTCTGTCGTCTGTGTGTAACTAGACGGCGGATGGCCCGAGCGTAGGGACGTACTTTGTGCAAGCTTTGTAGTACAAAGTAGTACTGGGAAGTACTTTGTGCATCTTTGTGCAAGCTTTGTAGTACACTTGTACAGAGTAGTACTGGGAAGTACCGTGTGCAACCTTTGTAGTACAAAGTAGTACGGGGAAGTGTTTTGTGCAAAGCTGTAGTACCGGGAAGTGCTTGTGCAAGCTTTGCAGTACGAAGTAGCACTGGGAAGGACATTCCCCGTACTTTGTGCAAGCTTTGTTGTGTCCAAGCGTCTGTGTGTAAGGACTTCTGTGTGTAAAAGCGTCTGTGTGTAAACGCCTCTGTGTGTAAAAGCATGTAAAAGCGTGTCTGCGTACGAGCGCCTTTGTGTAAAAGTGTCTGTGTAAAAGTGTGTCCATTTTACATCTTCGTATCCTACATTTTTTGCATCTTTTCTTTCCTTTCCTCACTCTCTTTCTGCCACCCTGGTTCCTTCATACATCTTCATACAGCCTGTCCCTTGCAATGTTTATCTTGCTTTCGTTCTGTATCATTACAAATGCTTCAATGCATCTCATCAGCTTTTCTCTTGGCATCTTGACATCTTGCCTGTTTCATCTTTCTGATGATCAGCTGCTACATGTTCAATTGCTATCATTGCCTTGTCTTCTACTTATAACGTATTTTTACATAATTATATATACTTACTTATTATAGCTTATTATCGAATGAAGTTTAAAAGTCAAACTTCCGACAATATGGAATATGGAGAGAGATTCAAAAGCAGAGGTGGGAAGAGTCAGAGAAGAGAAGAGCAGAAGAGAGAAGATCAGAGAAGAGAAAGAGTCAGAAGAAAGAAGATGCAGGTGCGCGAAAAGGTAGGAAAGTCGCGAAATACTGTGTTTTTCCAATGATTTGTGGCTCCGGAGGGTCGAAAAGTAGGCTCGCTAAAGCGGCGGGTGCGGAGCCGTCTGGCCAGATGAGAGGTAAAAAGTTGCACGCCGTTGTGGCCCGAAGCACATTTGGAAGTCAAAATGCACAAAGCACGCGACGTTCAGATGTCGTTCTGCGTGGCAGGCGCAAGGGATTCTGCGCGTTGCTAGAAGGGGACAAAACGTCAGGGTTTTGTAGCATTTCCAAAAACGATGGCAGGAGTGGGATATTTGCAGAGGATCTGGCAAGATGGATTTCGCGTGGCAGGCGCAGTACAAGAGACATGTTCATCAGAGATGTTAGGAGGTCAGGGCGCTAATGTCCTCAGAGGGATTGCATTTTGGAGCATCAGATCTTTAGTTTTGGGAAGATGATTTTGTGTGACAGGTGCAGCTCGTCGTATGACCTGGCATCACTTTTTCGTGGCAGGCGCAGTACTTCAGAGACATGGACTGGAAAATTGCAAAACGCAATGGTACGAGGCCGGCAGCTCTGCACTCAACTTTCCATTTTTGAAGGAAGTCTCGCAGAATTGCTTCGTTTTTGATGTTGTCAACTTCGAAAATTGAGGAAGTCTCGCAGAATTGTTTCGTTTTTGATGTTGTCAAGTTCAAAACTTGAGGAAGTCTCGCAGAATTGAGAAAGACAGACAGACAGACAGACAGACAGATAGATAGACAGACAGACAGACAGACAGATAGATAGGTGGATAGGTGGATAGATAGATAGATAGATCGATAGATCGATAGATCGATAGATCGATAGATCGATAGATCGATAGATCGATAGATCGATAGATCGATAGATCGATAGATCGATAGACCGATAGACCGATAGACCGATAGATCGATAGATCGATAGATCGGTAGATCGATAGATCGATAGATCGGTAGATCGATAGATCGATAGATCGGTAGATCGATAGATCGATAGATCGATAGATCGATCGATCGATAGATAGATAGATAGATAGGTGGATAGGTGGATAGATAGATAGATAGATAGATAGATAGATAGATAGATAGATCGATAGATCGATAGATCGATAGATAGATTAATAGATTAATAGATTAGATAGATAGATAGATAGGTAGATAGATAGATAGATAAATAGATAGATAGATAGACAGGTAGATAGATAGATAGATAGATAGATAGATAGACAAACAGACAGACAACTACAACTGCAACTACAACTGCAACTACAACTGTAGCTACAGCTACAACCACCCTACACTATCACTACCACTACAAATACAAAAAAACAAATATACTACGCTACAGTGCACTAATTGCACTACACTACGCTAATTACTCTACACTGCATTAATTACACTACACTACACTAATTGCAGTACACTACACTAATTACACCACAACTATAACTACAACTACAACTACTGTTACTACTACAGCTGCAGCTACAACTACAGCTACAACTACACTACGTTACACTACGCTAATTACATCACACTACAGTACGCTACAGTACGCTACACTACGCTAGGCTACAACTACAACTACACTACACTACACTACAACGCTACGCTACACTAATTTCAATACACCAGAACTACAGCTACAACTACAACTACAAGTACACTACATTACACTACAGTACGCTAATTACACTACACTACGCTACACTACGCTACGCTAATTACACTACACTAGACTACGCTACACTACGCTACACTACGCTACACTACACTAACTACAACTACAGCTACAACTACAACTAGACTACCTTACGCTACACTACGCTACACTACGCTACGCTACACTACGCTACACTATACTACACCAGACTGCACTACACTAGACTGCACTACAGCGCACAACACTACAGCACACTACACTAGACTACGCTACAGCCCACAACACTACAGCACACCACTCTAATTACAACGCAACTACATACAGCTCCACTACACCACACTACATCCAGCAGTTGTGGCTGCAACCACTGCAACCACTCCAAAAAACACAGCTCCCAACCACCTTTCGATCCATCAGTGGCTTCGCTCTGCCATCCGTGATTCACAACAACCAACCTCTCCTGGTAGTACCGCACAAGGCGGTGGCGGAAGTTCAAAAATAGGAAACCTATAGGAGAGGTTGGTTGTTGTGAATCACGGATGGCAGAGCAAAGCCACTGATGGATCGAAAGGTGGTTGATGTCTCCTCTCTTTCTCTCTTTCTGTCTCCTTTTCTGACTAGTGTTGTTGGCTGCCTAATAGTAATGACCCCCCCCCATTTTTTTTTTTGAGGGGGGGGTCAACCTTCCTATAATAATTTTTGGGAATCTATAGCTGGGATCATGATATGTATCTGATAGATTCTCCATGGTTTTGTTGGGTTTCTGATAGATTCTGAATGGATTTGGTTGGGTTTCTGAGAGATTGGCGAAGAGTTGGCAAGGCGGAAGTGGACATGGAAGTGGGGGCAGAGGTGGTGGAGGCGAAGGAGGAGGACGAGGAGGAGGAGGAGAAGAAGGAGAAGAAGGAGAAGGAGAAGGAGGACAACAAAATTGGAGTTGCGGAAAAAAGTTTCCACTATTGCCATGCCTGGTGCAGGTTTGTTATTGCTATTCTGGGGCTTGCAAAGGGGGTACCCTTTGTGGACCTGTTTTCTTGCTTTTTTTAATAAGGGTTTTATAAGGAAATCAGCTGTTTGGTAATTGGATCAGATTTCTGGAATCTAAGCTTTTGCTAATCAAAAGTGAAGGTCCACTATTGGCCATGCCCTCTGGACAAGGTCTGAACATGACTCTTTTGGCAATACTAAAAGTAAATAGAGCTAATTGACTTTAAGTATTGGAGAAAAATTGGAGTTGCGGAAAAATGTTTCTACTATTGACAAGATATCACTATTGGTCAGACAACATTATCTACCTACCTACCCACCTATCTATCTATGTATCCATCTATCTCTCTCTCTCTCTCTGTCTGTCTGTCTGTCTTTCTATCTATCTACCTATTTACCTATCTACCTACCTACCTATCTATCTATCTATCTATCTATCTATCTATCTATCTATCTATCTATCTATCTCTCTATCTATCTATCTATCTATCCATCCATCCATCCATCTATCCATCTATCCATGTATCCATCTATCCATCTATCCATCTATCCATCTATCCGTCTATCGATCTATCGATCTATCTAGCTATCTAGCTATCTAGCTATCTAGCTACCTAGCTATCTATCTATCTGTGCAATCACCCCTGCACTGACCAATTGCTCAATCACCCTGTGCTTCTCGGAATTGAAAAATGATTCAAAAATGACACGTCTTTGCTCAATCACCCTGTTAACGGTGGTGGCACAGCAACAACCAAAATCACTCCAATGCCATTAAGTGTTAGAACATGCATCACAACCGCAAACGGTGACTGTGAACAACCAACTGAGAAGCAAACGATCCTCTGATTTTGTAACGCTAAGAAGCCAAAGTCCAAGAGCGGTATCTGTTGCACACTGTTTCTGAATTTCCTGCGGCCAGAAAAGACACGCAAGAAACAAAACAGTTTTGCATTCCACTTGCACGAAACAAGGTTGCTTGTGACAATGTCGGTCAGCCCGGTGTTGGCTTGCAAAAACTTTTGGCGATCAGACAAAACCGACCACAAGCCTAAGCTGCTGGAAAATGCATTGTCGGTCAGACCGGTGCTGTGTTGCAAAAACTTTAGCTTCACGCGGCGCGCATCACTGCATGCGTCCCATCTTTCACTGCATGTGTCCCGGCCGACGCGGTCAGAACAGACGCACGCAGTCAGCACTGACGCGGTGCGCATCACTGCATGTATCCCGTTTTCCTGATGGCCCCGACGCGGTCAGAAAAGACACACGCGAGGTCACTGCCATCTCTGGCACGCTGGCACATGCGGCATCTGTGAGGCGTCAGCCCGGCCAGCCTGCCACTGTGCAGCATCCGCCCGGGCTGCCTGCCGCTGTCGCATTTCAGTGTGAATCCAATCAGACTGAAAATGACAACATTCATCAAAACGCTTCAGATACTCACGGCGCAGCAATTCATCCTCCGTGCGCTTCACCTGGGGCCACTCGCTGTGGTCCCACAATATTTTCAAGATGGCAACGGCATCAGCAACAGTGAGATGCTTTCGCAGATTGAGCCACATGGCAGGACTCTCTCCCAGGTCTTGCAGGAGCCGTCTCGCTTCATCCGGGGGCTCCCAGGTCTTGCGCCTGCCACGCGAAACGACATCTGAACTTCCAAAAGTGGTCCGGACCCCTGGTGCTTTTAACATTTTGACTTCGAAATGTGCTTCGCGCCACAACGCCGTGCACTTTTTCGACATCGCAACTTCCAAAAGTGGTCCGAACATGTGGTGTTTTTAACATGTTGACTTCGAAATGTGCTTCGCGCCACAACGGCGTGCACATCTCAATTTCCAAAAGTGGTCCGAGCATGGTGCGTTTTGTACAGGCATGTGCTTCGTGCCACAACGGCGTACACTTTTTAGACATCTCAACTTCCAAAAGTGGCTCGAACGTCAGGTGTTTTTAGCTTTTTCGCTTGCAAATGTGCTTCGCGCCACAATGGCGTGCAATTTTTCATCTCTCATCTGGCCAGCGGGCTCTGCACCCGCCGCTTTAGCAAGCCTACTTTTCGACCCTCCGGAGCCACACATCATTGGAAAAACACAGTATTTCGCGACTTTCCTACCTTTTCGCACACCTGGGTCTTCTTTCTTCTGAGACTTTCTCTTTTTGATCTTCTTTCTTCTTCTCTTCTCTTCTCTTACTCTGCCCATCTCTGCTTTTCATCTGTCCATATGGTCGGAAGTTTGACTTCTAAACTTCCTTCGATCATATACATACATAATACATAATGTTTATACTTACGCCTGTAGGAACTTGCTCCTCTACGCCCTGGGGCCATCCGTCGTCTAGTTTGTTTAGTTAGTTGGAAAAAAACCATGTAAAACTGATGGTTTCTTACAGAATTTCCGACACCATTCCCTCGACAGGTGCCACTGTCCAGCTGAAGCGTTTCGGCCTCGGTGATGCCACGGTTCTCTGCTGGTGCCTTGGCACCATGGCCTTTGCGCTGAGTGGATACCCGAGCCAGCCAGGCGGGAAGAACCCAGTTACAGGGGTTTGTTGGGAAAGTCTTAGCCGGAAAAAACCATGGATTTTACCCTGGCGCATGTTCCCTTGAACCAAAGTGTGATTTGTGTGGTATTTTGTTTGTCGTGTGAAGCACAGAAGCCTGACAATATTGATTGCCATGCGTGTTGCTCTCATGGAAGAGTCGTAAACCTGGAAAGCATGCAATGACGTGAACAGTGTCAATAACATCCTGGAAAGGACTACCTCTATCCGCCATAGGCCCTGTTTAGTATTGAATTTGTTCATTTTGGAGTATTTTGGTGCTACAGTCCAATTTTTGTGGAGTTTACATGAATTTACTGTAATAGTGGTGGGATACTGTGGGATCATTTGTCCTCGGCGCAGGTCCCTTGCCCACAGTGCTGCTCCTGAACCGATGGCAAGTGTTGGGGGCTCAGTGGGTTTGGGTTTCCCTCTTAACCGGCTTAAACTCTCACATGGATGCGTCAATTACTCAAGGAATTTCAGACAGACAGAAACAACCGGTCAGATAATGACATCTACATGTATATATATATATTTAAAAATCATATATTTATATGTATACGTGCGTGTATATATATATGTATATATATATGTATATATATATACACACATACATATGGTAACCGACAAAATTAGCGGAAAACTAAACTAGTAGGAAGTGGACTTGGATGTTCAAATTGGTGTGAAAACCTTCACAACCGATAGGGGACGCCCCACTTTGGCAATGTCCATATTGCGAACAGTAAGTAGTTTTGTTCGCCCCTCATATATAGAAAAATAATGAAAATAAATAGATGGTCAAACAATACGACCTAAATGATGGACAAACAAATGGATAGGTTAAATAGCTAAAAATACATGGATCGACGCATGTATATTATTGTAATTATATTATTGAATATGAATAATTATATGTATACATGCCTATATGCATTACATCAGTGTATGTATGGCATATGGATATGGTGTGTCTGGATATTTGTATTATTTGCCGTATCATATTATCCGTTTCCACTTCCAGGCGTTCACCACTTCACTTCCCCGAGGTTCAGTGGCGCAGAACGACACCTCCACTGGGAAGTGGCGCCTGCGCGGCTGGCGGACGACGCTGTGGTGGACCTCTGGAGCTGGCACAACGTGAGCTTCACCACGCCCGGCTATGGACCGATTGGGGCGGCTGGGGAGGGGCACGGCTGGTCAAACAGCTGGTAAGACTGAAGTTTTGTTTTTGGGGGGGTTCTTCGAAATTTCCGAAGTGAAGTGAAGTCACTGAAGTTTTGAGACTGAAGACATTGAAGACGCAGGAGTCTGAAACTTTCCAAGGAAATCACGCAAGTTTCAAGAATTCTTTGAGGGATATTTCTATACCGGGTTGAGGACGTCGAGGTCGCTGGATGAGCTTCCCAAGCACAAGGCCGGCCACCGAGCGGGCCTTGGAAGCGCGCTTTCGGTATCTTTGTACCTTGGCCTTGGATGCCTTGGGTGAACATTCTGGGAACATCTGGGAACTATTTGATATGTCGTATACCGTGAGTTTTGAACGAACTTCGAAGTGTAAAACCCAAGCAGTTTCTGCAAGAAACGACCTCCATGAAGTCTGAAGCCATCCTCAAACCGTTGGCTCAAATCGTTTCCAGGTCACGGGTCCTTTTCGAATTCCCAGGTACTGAATGGAACACGGCGCACCCAGACGTTCCGGTGCTCAAGTACCAGCTCTTTGAGCTCTGGGCCCCACTAGGTGCGACGTGGGATGCTTCCACGGAAGGTGGGCACAGCGGCCAACATGGCCGCCTGGTGTTTTCATGGTTTTTATAATATGACTGGGGATGGGTCAAAAAAGGTCAAAGACTATTGTTATCGCATGACTGGGGAACATCCATAAATGCCAGCTATGACTTTGGGTACCGTTTGGGAGACTTTTGACCCATACACATATGCTATTCATCAACTCTTTGCATGGAATGGCTGTTTCCTGGGAGAAGTCCTTGAGATGTGAGTCTGGAGCATGAGGTCTTGGGGTGTTCACTGAAAATTTGTGCGAAGCCTACAACCGCATTCAAAACTACATATAGATTATATAGTCAATCTGTGTCAATCTACTTCAATCTGGAAAATATAAACATCCACATAGATCCACAGGACCCTGCGATTTCTCGGGTCGAACAAAAAACAGGTTCAACCCTGGGAACCTTCATGTTTGGCCAGGTCCTGATTTGGAAGTGCTTGGAGACTCAGAGGAGTTGTGAGGCTCCCAAATTGGGGTACTGTATCCATCCCCAAATGTTTCTTTTTGGTGCGAAAAAGCAATCGCAGGTATTCACAAACCACTGGGTGTTGTACCCAAAATTTGGGATATTTGGGAAACCCATGTAGGATTCAAAATGGTTGGTGACTGGCTTATGTCTTCCTCATTTTTAGCAACATGTCGATGGTCTTGCCACCTATGACCCGTAGTTGATGGGGGATGAACACGCTCAAAAGCCAACCACCAGCGTTTTTAGCAATACTCAGGCTGCGGCTCAAACACCACTCACAATGTAAGCAATTTTTCCCTCTCAGTATTATATATTATATAGTCTTGTATAAGATTTTTGAGCCGCAGCCACAGCCACAGCCAGCCATCTCCCAGCAATATTTGGTGTGGATCAAGCCACAGCCTATCAACTGACAACGTTGGAAAATGATTGTTTGCTTGAAACTACATGTTTTCATAGGAACCGGAAAAGACATGTAGAGACATGGAAAGGTATCACAAGGTATCCAGGTAGCCAGAGCATGTCTCGCACTCCCGGGTTGATTTCCTGGGTTGGGACCACCCAGATCCCTTCAGCTGCGCTAAGGCTTCCCCCAAGCAAAACTTTGGTTCGCGTGCAAAGTTGCGACCAAAAAGCCACGTCAACCGCGCCGGGGACTGGGGCCTTTTCGCGGCTACAGCCCAGTTGTGAAGTAGATCCGATGATCCTCCAAGCGCTGATAGGGGACTGGGAACTTCCGAAATGCACTGATTTCCTCCGTTTTCCTCCATAAGTTCATCCTTTGTTGGGGCACCATAGTGCAGTGGGAACATAATCATTTTGATAGATTTTGATCAATCTGGATTTACCGAAGCTGTCACCCTTGAACTCGGTGAACCTTGGTCAAGGGTTGCTTACTGGAAGGGATCTAAGGGGTTGATCATTTTTGGGTATTTCAAAAGTTTCAAAAGACTGCCGCTGAAGAGAACATAAGAGAGCCATTTTTTGGGGATCCCAACTTTTGGCACCGGCTCTAAAAACGACACCCCGATTTCTTCCGACCTTGGCTTCCAGCGGGTCCCTTAGATTTTCGGGCGCGTCCACGTCATTCGTGACGTGCGCTGCGGTGGACGCTGCAATGAATGGAAGCAGCGGCTTACCTTTCGCCAGTCTGCCGGGCTTAGGCTCGGCTTGCACCTCTTGGGGAGGTGGTGAATTTTCACCAAAATGTTGGTCATGTTTAACAAAAAATGATTACTCCTGGTGAATTATGTGGATATAAAATGGGGATTTAATGGGGTTTCAACCAACAAACATGGAAATAGAATGGGCATATGAAACATGAAATATATGGATTTGAAACTCCTATGCCATGTACACATACACCATCATATAGCCAACGGTCCAACAGTGGGATGCTTGCAATGGTGGAAATGATGAGAATCAATGGAATCAGCGGGGTATTTTCAGAGAAACCCAAGCCGAGGGTGCATAATTGATATAATTGGGATAATCCAAGTGATGTGATGAGATATAGCAGCTGGGCTATTCATTAGTGCACCTGGAGTTGTTATTGGGAAATTATAGCGGCATATGCGGTATGGCAATCATCCCCATCGTCGGATGGGATATAACCTTTAACTATGTTTATATATTCACTTTTAACTGGAACTGCAGCCCCAAGTATAGGCCAGTATAGGCTATGAACCTGTATAACTTGAAGTTGGTTTGCCACCTACTAGCTTCAAGCATCATTCCAGTCGTTTTCACACGGGAAAGGCTCAGTGTTGAAGCAATCAGCCAGAGCTTCAACCGCTGAAACCAAACAATTGCATGTCCAACATATTCATGCGCATTTATTCATTCAAAACCACGGTTGAACAAACGCCATGCAGGACTATGAAGCATTCTTTTGAATCTTTTGAATTATCCTCTGGTAATTCAACATGACAATCGAAGATCAAACGCTTCCAACCAGAGAATGGGAAAAACAACTCTGGGAATTTCTGCATATTTCTGCTTGTCATTTTCCAACCGAAGTGACTTTCCTTGTTTCGGTGGGGTCGTTTCGCAGGTGAGGAGGAATTGCCGGGCTTCAGTCCTGAGGAATGTCCTGAGGCTGACGGGCATCCCAGTGAGGAAGTTGTATTATACGGTTTTATTTTGTTAAATATGATTTACTAATACACAATAATATATATATATACTATAAGTTATATGCTGTACTATGTTAAGGTATAATTACACATATCTATCTATATATATATATATTTACATTATATTTTTCGTATGTATATAGAGTATCTGCACTTGTAATATATGGATTTGGTATGGGTGATACGCACCGCTTGCTACTCACTGGGCTGCACATCCAAGGGGAAGGCAGTGCGGATTGAGATAGATAAATATATAGATGATAGATTAAATGAGATTAGATTCGATTCAATTCTATTCGATATACAGTAGATATACTGTAGTTAGATAGACAGACAGATAGATAGATAGATAGATAGATAGAGATAGATAGAGATAGATAGATAGATAGATAGGTAGGTAGGTAGGTAGATAGATAGATGGATAGATAGATGGATAGATAGGTAGATAGATAGGTAGATAGATAGAGAGATAGAGAGATAGATAGAGATAGATAGAGATAGATAGAGATAGATAGAGATAGATAGAGATAACGATGGATAGATACAGATAGAGATAGATGGAGATAGATGGGGAGAAGAGAGACAGAGAGAGAGAGAGAGAGAGAGATAGATAGATAGCTAGATAGATAGGTAGGTAGGTAGATAGATAGATATCCACCATAAACCCAACAGTAAACCAATTATGAACTGATCTCGACACTTGAGTAGGGTGGGAGTCTTTTCCTGTGTGAAACAATGGTTTTCACCTTCATGGGGAAGTTTCTAAACTTTAACATTTCCCATCATTTTAATGATAGGAAAACGGAGGATGAAATATGATGCATCACTTATTGCACCATTTACTTCATAGATGATCAGCATTTACAACCATATAACGTTCCCACTTCCCATCCATTTTTACATCATCCAGTTGATGATGGTCTGAAAATAGTGCACCCCTAAACCCACTGGTTAATCATCATTTTCCCTAGTATGCAAATGGCTATTTTGTTGGGGGCATACCCCATGTCCAGACACACCCAAATCCAAGACTGTTGCTTCGTTATATCCCATTAAATCCCATGAAAAATCATCATAAAATCCCAAATATTGATGGTTAATTAGCTCTATACTTGGTGGTTAGCATATATGTGAACCATTTGTGGTAAACCCAATGCCATACACCTATCATTTGGGGAGGGTTGGTATACCACCTATTGATCATCATCCCGAATCATCCGCCAGGAGCTACCGGACCTGTCGAGGCACTTCAGCCTGGCGGCGGAGGTCTTGAAAGCCGACAGGACTGCGCAGTTCGTATGGGAAAACCCTGGGAAAATCCATGGGACCATGGGAAAAATCCGAAAAAACCATGGGAAAACCATGGTTTCACGACGGAAGATTGCGAGGGAGGGCAATTGAGGAGGAAAACGTGGTGAAATGAGTTGAAATCAGCAAGTGGAATAAGCCTAAACTGTGGTTGGGGTTTTGCCAATCATCTCCAAGATCTGGTGGTTTAAGCTGTTCATTACTGTACAGGGATATTTAAGCCCAGTTAAATGATATTGACATACATTGATATTTTTATTATTTTTGGGATAGGTTGAGATTGCAGCGGCCACATACCAGTTGGGTTGTTTCACAATTCCTCGTATCTTACCCAATTTCAGAGCACATGATTTGTGCCCTTGACTGCGTACAGATGGTACGTATGTATATATACGTACATGTCTGTATATATTTTTTATACTGTATATTGACACGCTTTGCAATGCCTGGGTTTATATGCCGCTAAATTAGATACCAGAATTCCACACATATCTCTGGTACTCCAACATGGCAATAGAAAACCAACTTTTCTACCAGGAAATTCATAGAAACGGATGCAGCTGCGAAATTCGTCAAGGGTTATGTCATATTGCGGCACCATGGACTCTAGCAAGGGCACTATGTCGATACCTAGGGATGTGCATCTGGACTCTGGGCTCCTTGCTGGTGAGTTCTTTTTGGTACACCTTTGTGATGTTTTTGCGTGGTAAATTTTGCAGCGTCTTGGAAGAGCCTTTCTTGAATTTCAGACTTTGGGTGTATCCTCCACGAAACATGGCAATGGCAATGGCTCCACTTGTTGAGAAAATAATCATTATATAAAGTAACATGGATATCAGCTTGTTTGCCTTGCTAGCTGCTGAAGGATTTCCTTTTCAAAAGAAGAATCTGGAGTCATGTGATTCTGATTTTTGAACTTTGGAGTTTGAACTTACTTGTACTTTCACAAGAGATCAGTGTCGGCCGCCATTGGCCATGGGCCGCCATGGGCCGCCATGGGCCGCCATGTCAGGAATCTTTACGAGCAGATGCGGTCACTGAAGACCAGTGGCGGGGTCGGCTTTGCCAAGTGCCACTGGGCCAGTCGGACCAGTGCTGTTGGCGGGTGGATCGATATGGATCTGTCAATTCAGGGAAAAAATACGGGAAACCAGGGGTTGAAGCATGAACTAAGGTGAAATATGGTGGTTTCCTGCAAAACTTCCCTTGCAGCCATTCTTGGGCTGGAGTGGGTAACCGGGGAGGATCTTTATCCGATCAACGGTCGGGCAAGGAGTGCATATTGCAAAGGCGGTAATTGGGAGAACTCAGCTGCAATGCATTTACTGCAGTGGCTGATCATCCCAGCATCAGTAGCATGAAGCCGGTCAGTAGCATGAAACCGAGATTGATTCACTCGTGAGGTCAGTGGCTTGGGTTTATTTCTGGGGCACTAGTGTATAAGTAGTAGAATATGTAGAGTAGAATATAATATGCCAATACTATGATATAATAATATGAGGATATATATATATACACGTAAGGTAACGTAACGTAACGTAACGTAACGTATGTATGTATGCATTGTAATGTATGTAATTATGTATGTTATTGTATGTATGTACGTATGTAATGTATGTATGTATGTGCATTATATATGTGCGTGCATATACCTACGTGTGTATGTGCATATATATATATGTGTGTGCTTGTAAATATGTGTGTATGATATACATATACCTATATAGCGTATATAGATACATGTTTGTGTAGATAGTTGATGATATAAACATAATTCGCGGTTGTATATATATATATATATGTATATATGTATATCTGTATATATATATGTATATGTATATATATATATGTATATATGTATATATGTATATATATGTATGTATATATATATATATGTATATATATATATATATATCTATATGTATATATATATTTATATGTATGTATATAACGTGTGCACATATCTATGTATGGGCTGCAATGTAATGTAATGCAATGCAGTGTAGTGTAGTGTAATGTTAGTATGTAAGGTTTATTATGTTGTGTTATGTTAGGTTGTGGTATGTTGTGTTGTGGTATGTTATGCAATGTATGCATGTATATGTATGTATATATATAAAAACATGTGCATATTTTTGCATGTAGATGCATGTATTTGCATATTTATGCAAACATATGTGTATATAGATACATGGGTATACAGATACACCCAGACAGATGCATGCAGATAGATACATATAGATAGATACGTCTAGATACATATAGAAGCATATATATATGTATATATAGGTAGACACATGTAGATAAATAAAATATACATATACATTTATATTTATTCATATACATAGATGGGTACACATAGATTAGATAGATAGATAGATAGATAGATAGATAGATAGATAGATAGATCGATAGATAGATAGATAGATAGATGGGGAGATAGGTACATAGGTACATAGGTAGACAGGTAGGTAGGTAGATAGGTAGATAGATAGGTATATAGATACAGTATATAGATAGGTAGATGGATAGATAGGTAGATAGATAGATAGGTAGATAGATAGACAGATAGGTAGATAGATAGACAGACAGATAGATAGAGAGGTAGACAGATAGATAAAAAGAACAACATATATAAAGATTGTGTGTAGTATGTTTTACATTATAACATGCAGGTTTGAAAGAAAACAAACCGGGTCTTGGCCCACCCATCCTACGTCCTGCCCTAAGGCATCAAGACGGGCATTGACAACCGGGGCCATCCCATGATCAAGGCAGTAGGTGCCCAGCACTGGCCGCGTCGGTGTTCATCGAGCTTTGGGAAAGTTTGCGACATTGTTGAAAACCCACGATTTTAGAAGATCATTTCATCTCATGTCTATCATTTTCCATTTGGCTTCCTACAATGGGGGTTACCCCTAAATCATCCATCATTTATAGATTGATTTTCCATGAGAAACCATCCGGCAATTGGGGTATGGAAACCCCCTTTGTTCACCCACTTGTGGGCCTTGTTTTGTTGGCAATGTGCTTTCCACAGGTGCAGTGGCTGGTGATGCCGAGTGTGGCTTTGCAGCATCAACCAGGGGTTATTTGTTAGACATGACAATTGGTTCACAAATATGGCAGCCTGCCATCTTCCAGTATTTTCCAAAATTGGTGCTGAGAGATGCTGACGTGCCTCAAGCTCCTCCCAGGCAACAGAAAAAATGTAGAGGATTGGCATAGGATTGGCATATCTCTGTGCCAACGTTTCCCCCAGCCAGTTTTCATCAACACAAAAATAGGTGACGTTCAGACTCTGTGCTTGGTTGATAGCATCAATCAGTAGCCTCTCCAAAAGAAATCAACAGAGACATCGGCCAGCAAATCCTCATGTTCAAAAATGGTATCCTGATATATCTCTCCAAACATGGATAGAAATGCATAGAAATGGTACATTTTCTCTCCATTGCCAGCTAGATTTCCCGGATTTTCCAGGGCTTACCGCTGGCCATAACTGGTGACTGGTGGGACGGCACTAATGATCCGCCCTTCGCTAAGCCAGTGAGCTAGGGGTATTCATGTTCCATCGGCTTCCATCGTATTCCATCATATTCCTAGCAATGGGAACCCCCTTATAAAATCTTATAGATGGAGGTATTAACCGCATAATCATCTACAATAATCTAAAAATGTTCCCGTATTCCGAGTCATATTCCCAATAAATGATCGGGAATTAAGAAGCTACGAATCTTTGCCGCGTTTCCCACGTGTCATGTCGAGGTTACGACACCTTCCAACCCTTCTTCGACCAGCTCTTAGCACACTGTCATGGCGAGGCAGGCTGTGAGTTGAAACGCCCAAATTTTTGGGATAGACCCTCTGGATCCCTCTATTTATTTATCGCTTTGGAAATCCCCATTTGTAATATTGTAATAGGTTACTCACCATTTTTTCACATTTTTTTTGTAATTGCTGCAATATAGCTATGTAGGGTACTAATAATCATTGTGAACACCAACGTGCTAGCACACCAACATTGTAGCCCACTTTTTGAGGAGGCTTTTGGAAGATGTTGGGCCAGAAATTGCCAAGGGATCTGCAGGGTTCCTTTCTGGACCTTACAGGAACATGTCCCCAATTGATCTGCATCCCAGGCTGATGACCTAACCCCGGGCTGTCAGGAGGTGTTGAGCATGCAGCACGGTTTCTGCCCCGCGCGGAGTGTCTCTGCCTTGGAACCTGTGGACGTGGTGTCGTGCCACCTTCGGATTTCCAGGCAAGAATTGGGGGAGAGGTACCCTGGCTGGCAGTCTGCAACAGTGCTATGGCTGCTATGGTTGTTGGATATGGCTCAAAACTGTTGACCCCTCAAGTATGGATAGTTTATTAAGTTTATTATAGATATAACAACAGCCATTGTGTAGGTCTTTGGAGTAGCTTTGGATGTTTCATCCCTGCTTGCTTGTAAAAGCCTTTGCCTGATTGCATAATCCGTTCCCCAATGGGTTTTGAGGACACAAACGCAGGAAACCGGCTGGACATTTTCCATTGAAGCACCGGAGTAGTACTGTAATTGGCCAGCTCGCAGTGGTTTTTAAACATGCCAAACTCTACTCTTCGACAATCAAACATGGCCTGGCAGAAAATGTCACTTCGATGGATTTCCCGGCTGTAAACCTTCAGTTCGGGGATTTCCCAGCTATGTTCGATGACCTAATTGGATATACTGTTGATTATTTCCCCATATATCGCCATCGTTAAAAACCCAGTCTTCAAGTTATCTTCATTAACGATGGCCGGTTCATGATCTTCCACGGCTGGTGAATCCGGCCGCAGGAACTTAAAGGATATGCCTTTTGTGCCGCACATGCAGCGTGCTGATCGGACGGAGGCACGAGGATGCATTGGAGCACCAAGGTGATCCAATGTGTGTTTCTGTGAATCTAGATGTACCTGTACATATACATATAGATAAACTACACATGTACTTATACTGGAATGGGAATCATACCCAAATGGCCCTATTTCATCTTATTTGAGCTATTTTCGGGGTTGGTGAATTGTTATAATTCAGCCAGACTATTTGTAACGGTGCTTGTGTGAGTATGTACATGTGTAATCACTTTGAATGCATACATAGATTTTCTGTCCCTGTTCGGGATAGGGACCGCGGCCGACAACAAAATATTGATGGAATGGATTGACACCAGCCAGTTCAAGACACACAACAGTTGAACCACATGGATGGATGGATGGATGGATGGACGGATGGACGGATGGATGGATGGATAGATAGATAAATAGCTGGATTAGATTAGATTAGATAGTTTCGATTTGATTCGATGGGATAGGATAGGAAAGGATAGATACGTAGATAGATACATACATTGATGGATGATAGATGGATAGATGGATGGATCGATGGATAGATGGATACTGTATATGGATGGATAGATGGATCGATGGATAGATGGATAGATGGATGGATAGATGGATAGATGGATAGATTGATAGATAGACAGACAGATAGATCGATAGATGGATAGATGGATAGATGAATAGATGGATAGATGGATAGATAGGTAGATACTACACATTAGTAATTAGACACTGTTTAAAATCACATTGTGACTCTTGGGCAGGTTTTCAACTGCCAAGTAAATTTACTGCAGGATGCTCATTCCCATGGGGCCCCAAAGATCCAAATGGGTAGACTAACATCCCAATATATCTTAGAGAAATTTCTTCATTCTTCGGATGGTTTTGCTACTGAGAACTACTCCATTTGACAGGCGTTTTGACCCAGTCCCATATCACAAAAAATTGCCCCCTGGTAATCTGATTCGTCAAAAACAGACTCCCCATTGATTCAGTCATTCATTTCCCATTGAAGCACCCTGTATCTAAGGCAGATTTCCCAGCACGCCATGATTAATAAAAATTGACATCTTTGGGAAAGGTCCAAAATGAATAGAACCCAAAGATTTTGGACACCCTATAGGGCCCCACAGAAGTTGGTTTGATTGCCCTCATGGCGAGCTGGGGAATCCCAGAACTATGAGGGGTTTCCAGCAAGCCATGTTACCACAGGGTACCCATAGTGAATCTCGTGATTTCCCAGACCATGGAGGTTGCTCCCCCCAGGTGGAACAACGCATCGTGTCAACCCTGATGGGGCACGGTGCCTACTATCCTCTGGCGGGATCCACCAGCTTCGCGGCCAAGCCCTATGGCATGGACGCTTCCGAGGTGCTGCATGCTGCATGGTGCTCCTGAAATTCGCATCATTTCGAGTCACCAAAAGGGACTTATCGGACCTACCCCTAAGAACCCCCCTATGTCTTGCTAGGAAAAGATGCTGTTGGACGACGGCCTCCTCTTCCATGAGCCCGACAGTCCAGCGGTGCTCTCCACCGGGGGCGGCCGGCACTGGCCCGAAGGCCGCGGCGTGATGCTCTTGCAGGGCAGTGAAGGTGGCAATGTCTGGGCCTGGATAAATGAGGAGGAACACTTCAAGCTCAACATAGTGCCTTGGAATATTTGGTGGAGACCTCTGGGTTAAATAGGATCGGATATGATTGGATGACTGGATCTGGAAATCTGTTTGATGTTGGTATCTAGTGCGGGGGATGGAACTGGATGGAAACTGGGCATATGCGGCATATCCAATCATTCCAAGAGGGGACATATGCAGTCTGTATATGTTTGATGGTTTGGTTAGTCTTAATTTCGTTCATTTATATATTATATATATACAGTGTCTTTTTTTTGAATCATCATCCCATTCCTAATTAGCAGTTCAACGGATCACATGGAACACACATTGGCCTCCAAGGCCCATTAGCCTACCACAAGGCCAGGCATCCATGGCATTTCCAATCCGGCCCCAGCTGGATCTGAGGATCGAAAGGATGGCAAGCTGAAGCAGAGTTTGACGGAGGCCACGGCTGTGCCTTGACTGTCACAGTGGCCGCCCAGCAACTGGTCACCCAGAGGCCTTCCCATAGGTGGCTCGTAAATGCATGAAGCTATATTTGTTTTTCTATGTTTTTCTGACTTTCATGTGGGGTTCAAGTTATATAATCCTTTTCAATTGGCCAAATCCCTCCCCCCAAATACTATATACTGTAAATACCCACTGGAAACTTTGGCATCCTTGGCCCTTAGCTCTGCATTTGTTCATTTTGTTTGGTGGGGCATATTGCCCATATGGAGGATATTTCTCATTTTTCTGGGATGGGGGTACAAGAAAACACGCCACCAGGTAAATAATCATAAGATAAGGGGCCTAGCATGGAGCCCTGGAACGGGCACATAAAATGGGCTCAGAATTCACATCAAATCATCAAATCCAGAATGAATCCAGCAAGACCTGTCCTGAAAAGCTCCTCAAAAGATCAATCCATTGATGCAAACTTACAAAGTCAAAGTTCCATTGAAAACATGCATTTTTTCTCAGGTCCTGAAACTGTTGGAGTCCACTGTGGGCTTCGCTAAGACGCAACGATTGGGATATCTGTGCCGAGCTTAGCGAAATTGCGTGGGCGGGGCTGGAAGGATGTGGAAAAAAACAGATGTGGAAAAGAACTGCGAGGAAGCAGAAAAGCTGTTCTGAGTTTTGTATGATGTATGATTATAAGCTTTGAAATGTTCAAACAATACTGTGGAGCTCTATACAACAGGAATTTTGCAGGGCTGTGGTCTGGTATCGCAGTGTAAAGACCTGTGATTCAGGGAGAGAACAATTGCGCTACTGTAGCGGTTCATCTCAAAATAGGCTAAGTCATGTTAAATTCCGGTTTTCGGTGGGGAAAACAATATCCACTTTTCTTTTCCCCACTTTTGGCTCACTTGCAAAGGGTCACGGTGGTGATCTTCACTTGTGCCATCTTGTGCCACCATTGTGAACAGCAGCCTTTAGGTGTCGAGCATGTCAGTTGTCAAATTGGTAAATTACATACCCGAAGTTTGACATTTGTCAAGAACCTGGCCCAAACTTGATTGAAGGACACCATTTCATTACCGGGTCTATACAGTCATTTACCCGCGAATTTGGGGCCAAGACATCTTGGTTTCGGGTTTTCGATCCCCCAAAAAAGATATGGCGAACTTGGCCGCGGGCCTTCGGCTCATTGAGGACGTCCTGTCCGATGAATCTGGGCATTGCCATGGTGGCCAGCTATGCGCCTTGGAGCCTTTGGGGCCTTGGAAGATGATCACAGTGGGTTTCAACCATTTTCGGATTCCTCTCTGTGGATTTCTGGGGTGTTTTGATGACAGCATGGGGTACTACTTTGCTCCTGGTGGGGATGCCACTGGCTGTGTGTTTGCAGGGCTTTCCAGTGCATTCCAATGCTGGTGATGTTAAAAGTACCCTGTGATACCCTGTGTCTTTGCCATCGCCAGTTGCCATCGCCAGTCATTTGCCCATCAGACTATATCATATTAATTCATATTATATCATTGCTTTGAGGCTTTGATTGATCTGTTTGTTTTTGTGTGTCTATCCGATGTTATCCGATGTTGATCGGAGTGGTTCGTGGCTCGGAGCTATGGGTATCAATATTCCCTATGAACAACGGGGAGCCAGTTGGAGCTTCGAATTGACTTTCCCCACAACCTGATAGTTACGATAGTTTTGGTAAGTTGAACACTGTTGAACACGTTTATTTATAACATTTTATAACCATTATTTAACAATGTTGAACACTCTTATAACCATTAGAAGCATTACATAAACATTATATAATTATATCATATAACATATCCATATAACCATCTTCTTTGTAGAATTGGATGTGGTGTCCATCCGCAAAAACCGCGGAATTCGAGGTCCTGAGATTGCCAAATTTGATGCTGGCGACGCTGGGCTGGTGGTTGTAGCCAAACTTGGGGCTTTAGCTGGGCAAATCTTATAAACATGGCATAAGATGCAGCCTGAGATGGTATAAAACTGGTACACAATGGTCTAAAACCGGTATAACATTGTGTCTAAATGGTATTTCAATGACCCAAACAGTGGTGTATCGCATGGGATTTTTGATAGGTCCAACTGGGCTAAGGCCTTGCCAGTTGGCAAGGCGCCACAAACAAACCGCAGGACATGCGCCCAGTTGTTGGGAGAAACAGTGCTGATGTTGTGCCTTTGATATTATGGAGTTTCTTGATCTTCAAACAATTGTCGTTTGCATTAAACTATTGATTAATCTATTAAACTTAAACTATATATTGATTATGTAATCATTCTGATGGTTATTGAATTATTGATTCATCATTCTGATAGCCTTTATATAATGCAGCATCTACACATATAGTCACGCAGTACACGAATGCAACAATAAACTCCAAGGTTTGGGTCAAAAACTACCCCTAGGCTCGAAAACAAAACTGGCTGGCAAATTCGACCCCATTGGCCGGCAGGATTCACGATGCATTGATCATGTGTTCCAAATCCTGCAGTTTTCGGTGATCCCTAGTGATTCTGAATTGGGGGTTCCTGGAATGTCAAGTTGTTTGATGTTGGCTGAGCTTGGGATTGCTGAGGAAAAAGGAGCTGGTGGACTGGTGCAAGACCCGTGATGTCATTGCGCAGCTTGCTCCGAATCAGTGGCGGAAAACATCTGTGTTTTATCATATGTTTGTATTTTCATCATTCATGTCATCACTTGTAGCTAAGATTTTTGCAGGATTTCCTGGCAATCACTTGTAGCTTGCAGTCAAAAAAGGTGTTTTCCAGCCAATTTTTGGTGATTTCGATGATTTTCGATTGGTGCCCAGGGGACGGCCCATGGCAACAGGGACCCAGGAACCTGGGAGATCCTGGGATGCTATGAACATGTGGAGCTTCTGTTGGAGATTCTTATTATATATATATAAATCCTATTCAATTCCCATGATCCCCCAATAAATCAAAACTTCATGCATTAAAACATCCACCTTGGTCGGTGATGGTGTTTGAGGCGTGGCGTTTTGGATCAGCAGGGGCTGCGCGTCGACGGTGTCCTGGAGATCTCGCACCGTCAAAAGATTGGAATCCGTGCAGAGGACCGGGATTGAAACGCTGATGGCATATATAATATAAATATATTATACATACATATATATATATATATTATATGGATATATACATATGGATATATTGTAATATATCTGGCATGATGGGTTCATCGTAGTTTTAAGATTTTCTGCTAGACGAGGTGGTCAAAGTTTTGTGCCCCAGCAAAGCCCAATGTTCTCAAAAATCCAAATATGAAGGGATATGCGATGATATGGGGTACATCATTAGGATGAAATTAAGGAAGAAGAATGATATGTGCGCCAGTTGCCATTTATTTTTCCCATGAACATGGCTAGATAGAGATAGGCTAATCCTGCCGGCGATGTTTGTTGGGTAATTCCATAGATCAACGGGCTATAGTTGTATTAAAACATTTCAAATTATTATAGAATGTAATTTCATAGTTTAATATTATAACATTTATCATCATTTATCTACCATCATTACTGATCACGTTTAAAAGGCTCAAAGTACTGATGTTCAAAGTGGTTCGCAGTACATACTATATACGTGAAATCAAAATACATACAGTACATTGACGATTGTGCGATGATGGTGGGGTATCCACTAAGAAAAATCCAACGTGACTTATAATCACAATTAAACATACAACCATATCATATAATCATAAGTTATATTATATTATATATATATATGGATTGTTACAAATATATATATATATATGGAATAAACATGTAATGATAATCGCATACAAACCAAATAACATCAAACAATAATCAAAAAATCGTTGGAGGGTAACCATGTACCCTCCGGTCATTTAACATAGCTTTGCAAATGGCCCATAGAACTACATGATTTACCAGTTAAACATTGTGATTTTCCATAGCTATGTGACAGATTACCAGAGGGTAATAGCCATATAGTACACCCGTTCTAATTAACATGCGGCAAACAAATACATGAGTCTGAGTTATACTATGTTATACTGAGTCGCTGTGTTTTGTGCATTTGAGACATCATTCCGGTGGTTCAATGTTTACTTCGTTGGGGTGGTAACCTATGAAAACCTACAACAACGCGCCCAAGCAGCTGCCGGGCTTGGACTTGGCAATTCCACTTGCAGGAATCTCCGTGCAGCTATGCCTGGCCGGGAGTAAGCAGAAAACCATCAAATAACCATAAAACTACAACGTTACACATGTCGCATATACGTATATATATAATTAACAATAAAAATAATGATGATAATGATTATATATCTGTGTGATAGCCACTTGATGTATCAACGATGTTAAATACTAATAACCATTGTTAACTCTAAGAACCATATTTGAAAACGCAATATAACAGTTGTAGTATAACCATCGTTCAATAATTGTTAACAACTGTTCTAGCCAAAAACAATATCAATAGTTGAATAGTTATAACATGTTATAACCATATCATTAAACCATCAATTGTTTTTCAACTATCATTGTTTCAAATAACCATTGTTATCAAATAACCATTGTTATAACCACTCAACGTCCAGGACATGGTGGCGGAGCTGTCGCAGGAGGCGTCGCTGCTGTGCCGCGCAGAGGCCTTGGTGGTGCAGGCGCGAAAGCCGTGTCGTTTCGCGGTTAAGGGAGGGGATGAAACAAAGGTGGCAAAACATGGGGAAAATTCAAGGAAATCTCAGAGTTAATGATGCTGAATGATTGAAAATACTGGTTCATGATGCTTAATAATGTGTTTCTTGATGCTTAATCTGCTTAATTATAGCAAATGAATGCAAATGACAGTTAGTAATCGTTGACATAGTTGATATGGAGGATATTTCAGGGATACCATGCGGAAGTGACCAACATAGTTAGGATTTGTGTGAATATATGCACACACGCACAGATAGATAGATAAGATAAGGTAAGATAAGGTAAGATAAGGTAAGGTAAGATAGGATAGATAGATAGATAGATAGACAGATAGATAGATAGATAGATAAATAGACACACACACATATATATATATACGTATATATATATATATATAGAGAGAGAGAGGCTTGCATGAACACATGGTCAAACATGTCGCTTAGGAACCTCTACTTGGGGGTGCAGTTGGGGTTACTAATAACCCCCATACCTTGGGTTATAGGTCTAGGTCCAATGATATCTCCATTATATCCCCATAAAACCCCCCTAGTTTTGGATGTTTTGGTGGTTAACTCCCCCCATTTTTTTCAGCTCCGCGCCAGGAGGGATTGCCTGTGCAGGAAGCCCTTGATTTGGTGAAGCCGCGGGAGTTGACACCGATTCTGGGCACCTTGACGGTGAAGCCCATGGCTGGGGCGCCAACCATCCCCACATGGTAGGTTTATTGTAGATGAAGATGAAGACACCTGTAGATATCTGTAGGTGAATAGGTCAATAGATTTAGAATGATTTAGACAAAGTGAATTTTTGGCGATCATATCAATCTCTTCTTCTCTCTTTCTCTCTCCCTCTCTCTCTCTCTCTCTATACACACATACATTGTAAACATGTACAATGCATATGTACATGATATGCAAGATTCCATCAAACAATGAGCTGGTGCTCAGGTGACGTCTCAGCTTGAAACCAGCCACGTTTTAGACTCTCCCAAGTGGGGTTACCCTCCGGTAATGGAACCCGGCAAAGGAATACCACCTTTGAAGATACGATCCGTTCTCTGTAATATTTAATACTTTTTCCCGAGAGCGTCTGAGCGCAGGGTTCTTCCAATAGTGGGGGTCTGTAAAACATCTTCTCATCTTCACATCTTCTCTCACATCTGCTCATCTTCACATCTTCTCTCACATCTTCTCTCACATCTGCTCATCTTCACATCTGCTCATCTTCACATCTTCTCTCACATCTGCTCATCTTCACTTCTCTCACATCTGCTCATCTTCACATCTTCTCTCACATCTTCTCTCACATCTGCTCATCTTCACATCTGCTCATCTTCACATCTGCTCACATCTTCTCTCACATCTGCTCATCTTCACATCTGCTCATCTTCACATCTGCTCATCTTCACATCTGCTCATCTTCACATCTGCTCATCTTCACATCTGCTCATCTTCATCATCTGCTCATCTTCACATCTGCTCATCTTCACATCTGCTCATCTTCACATCTTCTCTCACATCTTCTCTCACATCTGCTCATCTTCATCTTCACACATCTTCATCTTCACATTCTTTCACATCTGTCATCTTCACATCTTCTCTCACATCTGCTCATCTTCACATCTGCTCATCTTCACATCTGCTCATCTTCACACCTTCTCTCACATCTTCTCATCTTCACATCTGCTCATCTTCACATCTTCTCTCACATCTCTCTCACATCTTCTCTCACATCTGCTCATCTTCACATCTTCTCTTACATATTCTCTCACATCTTCTCTCACATCTTCTCTCACATCTGCTCATCTTCACATCTTCTCTCACATCTGCTCATCTTCACATCTGCTCATCTTCACATCTGCTCATCTTCACATCTTCTCTCACATCTTCTCTCATCTGCTCATCTTCATATCTTCTCTCACATCTTCTCTCACATCTGCTCATCTTCACATCTGCTCATCTTCACATCTTCTCTCACATCTGCTCATCGTCACATCTGCTCATCTTCATATCTTCTCTCACATCTGCTCATCTTCACATCTGCTCATCTTCATATCTTCTCTCACATCTTCTCTCACATCTTCTCTCACATCTTCTCTCACATCTTCTCTCACATCTGCTCATCTTCACATCTTCTCTCCTTTCTCTCTCCCTTTTCTCTCTCATGCCTTCTTTTTATCTTTCTCTCTTAAGGCCGAGGGTGGTGCCGGCGGCGAGTCACGAAACGTCAACCCTTTCGCACGAAATGAGGGTCGATCGGCAAAAACTGAGGTAAAATTGCGATTTGACTTGTCCCGGAGCAACCCTTTCGCACGAAATGAAGGTCGATCGTCAAAAACTGAGGTAAAATTGCGATTTGACTTGTCCTGGAGCAACTCTTTCGCACGAAATGAGGGTCGATCGGCAAAAACTGAGGTAAAATTGCGATTTTACTTGTGCTAAAGCAACCCTTTCGCACGAAATGAGGGTCGATCGGCAAAAACTGAGGTAAAAGTGCGATTTTACTTGTGCCGGAGCAACCCTTTCGCACGAAATGAGGGTCGATCGGCAAAAACTGAGGTAAAACTGCAATTTTACTTGTGCTAAAGCAACCCTTTCGCACGAAATGAGGGTCGATCGGCAAAAACTGAGGGAAAATTGCGATTTTAGTTGTCCTGGAGCAACTCTTTCGCGCGAAATGAGGGTCGATCGGCAAAAACTGAGGTAAAAGTGCGATTTTTCCTGTGCCGGACTTGTCTGTGTGTAAAAGCGTCTGTGTGTAAAAGCGTCTGTGTGTAAAAGACTGTGTGTGCAAAAGCGTTTGTGTGCAAAAGCGTGTGTGTGTAAAAGCGTCTGTGTGTAAAAGCTTCTGTGTGTAAAAGCCTCTGTGTGTAAAAGCGTCTGTGTGTAAAAGCGTCTGTGTGTAAAAGCAACTGTGTGTAAAAGTCTCTGTGTGTAAAAGCGTCTGTGTGTAAAAGCGTCTGTGTGTAAAAGGCTCTGTGTGTAAAAGCGTCTGTGTGTAAAAGCGTCTGTGTGTAAAAGAGCCTATGTGTAAAAAGCGTTTGTGTGTAAAAGCGTCTGTGTGTAAAAGCGTCTGTGTGTAAAAGCGTCTGTGTGTAAAAGCTTCTGTGTGTCAAAGCGTCTGTGTGTCCAAGCGTCTGTGTGTAAAAGCGTTTGTGTGTAAAAGTGTCTGTGTGTAAAAGCGTCTGTGTGTAAAAGCGTCTGTGTGTAAAAGTGTTTGTGTGTAAAAGTGTTTGTGTGTAAAAGTGTTTGTGTGTAAAAGCGTCTGTGTGCAAAAGCGTCTGTGTGCAAAAGCTTGTGTGTGTAAAAGCCTCTGTGTGTAAAAGCCTCTGTGTGTAAAAGCGTCTGTGTGTAAAAGCGTCTGTGTGTAAAAGCGTCTGTGTGTAAAAGCGTCTGTGTGTAAAAGCCTCTGTGTGTAAAAGCGGCTGTGTGTCAAAGCGTCTGTGTGTAAAAGCATCTGTGTGTCAAAGCGTCTGTGCGTAAAAGCATCTGTGTGTAAAAGCGTCTGTGTGTAAAAGCGTCTGTGTGTAAAAGTGTTTGTGTGTAAAAGTGTTTGTGTGTAAAAGTGTTTGTGTAAAAGCGTCTGTGTGCAAAAGCGTCTGTGTGCAAAAGCTTGTGTGTGTAAAAGCCTCTGTGTGTAAAAGCGTCTGTGTGTAAAAGCGTCTGTGTGTAAAAGCGTCTGTGTGTAAAAGCGTCTGTGTGTAAAAGGCTCTGTGTGTAAAAGCGTCTGTGTGTAAAAGTGTCTGTGTGTAAAAGAGCCTATGTGTAACAAGCGTCTGTGTGTAAAAGCGTCTGTGTGTAAAAGCGTCTGTGTGTAAAAGCGTCTGTGTGTCAAAGCGTCTGTGTGTAAAAGCGTGTGTGTGTAAAAGCGTTTGTGTGTAAAAGCGTCTGTGTGTAAAAGCGTCTGTGTGTAAAAGCGTCTGTGTGTAAAAGCTTCTGTGTGTAAAAGCCTCTGTGTGTAAAAGTGTTTGTGTGTCAAAGCGTCTGTGTGTAAAAGCATCTGTGTGTAAAAGCGTCTGTGTGTAAACGGGTCTGTGTGTAAAAGCGCCTGTGTGTAAAAGCGTCTGTGTGTCAAAGCGTCTGTGTGCAAAAGCGTGTGTGTGTAAAAGCCTCTGTGTGTAAAAGCGTCTGTGTAAAAGCGTCTGTGTGTAAAAGCGTCTGTGTGTAAAAGCGTCTGTGTGTAAAAGCGTGTGTAAAAGCTCTGTGTGTAAAAGCGTCTGTGTGTAAAAAAAGCATCTGTGTGTCAAAGCGTCTGTGTGTCAAAAAGCGTCTGTGTGTAAAAGCGTCTGTGTGTAAAAGTGTTTGTGTGTAAAAGTGTTTGTGTGTAAAAGTGTTTGTGTGTAAAAGCGTCTGTGTGTAAAAGTGTTTGGGTGTAAAAGTCTCTGTATGCAAAATCGTCTGTGTGTAAAAGTCTCTGTGTGTAAAAGTGTTTGGGTGTAAAAGTGTAAAAGTCTCTGTATGCAAAATCGTCTGTGTGTAAAAGTCTCTGTGTGTAAAAGTGTTTGGGTGTAAAAGTCTCTGTGTGCAAAATCGTCTGTGTGTAAAAGCGTCTGTGTGTAAAAGTCTCTGTGTGCAAAAGCGTCTGTCTGTAAAAAGTTCTGTGTATGAAAAACTTTACAAAAATACGATGCAAACTATTGTCTTGTACTAGTCATATATTGTCTTGATGCTACTCTTCTCGTCTGCCTATAATACATCTTTATCATATTATCTTGTAATATAGTGTCTCCATACTAACAACAGAAGACTCTGCTCCTCTACGCTCTCGGGCCATCCGTCGTCTAGTATATTAACATGGCCCCAAAAAATAAAGTAGATCCAATGCTAATCCAGGGGGATGATTGGGGGGTATTCAATATTTAGCGAAAGGGTTTTTATACACAATATAACAGAATATAGTACGCACTAGTATGTATATTACAATACTTTACATTTAGTACTGTATATTATGCCTTAAACAAGTACATGCAAAAATAGATAAATATATTATATTATATATGTGTACATGTGCGTATATGTATGTATGTATGTGTATACTATTGATCCGTTTATTGACTTCATAGCGGGTTTAACCATTTTCGAGGTTTTTAGCAATCCGTCACATCGAAGACAAGACATGGGCTTTCAACACGTTTACACAGTTTAAAACGGTATACTGTAAGGAAACACTAGGTAAACTGGATTGATTAAAGGGAAAATGTACAGGACACTATGGTTTTCCCATCAACTTGATAGGGTTTCCCTGTAAGATTCCCCTTAAAGCAATCCAATGATGCATGGTATGAAAACGATTGAACACACATTTTCAATTGCATGAAAACGATGTACAAAACATGTTAAATGGTATGAAAACCATTGCGACAACAATTTATATAAATTTATAAATGGTACAAAAACAATTTGTAAACTATCTTAAATGTTATATGAAAAAAACAAATAGAGACCGTTGAGACCACATGTTGGACGGTATCACAACCATAAAAAAAAACTAATTTACATAGCAAACAAATTATAAACAGACTAAACTGCATAAAAACCACTCGTATACGCACCTTTTAAATGGTTTTAAAACCATTCAATATTCATAAGACATGTTAAATTTGTATATAACATAAATTGGAGCAACATTTTGAAGGGTGTAAAAAAACATGCAGCAAACATTTTAGATGGTTTCCGGCCCTGCAGATTTGGCTCCGCCTCAGGTATGGAGGACGAGGTCGGAGGGATACCATTGGTCAATGGTCTTAGTAATACAAAAATGTGCTCAAGCACCATTGAACATGTTAATATTCAGCAAAAATGGGTGGTTTCAACATGTTTCAACCAGAGATCATGATTGGGTGATAGGCGTTATATATACAGGGTTACTGTATCTATTTAGTGGTTTCAATAGCGCGGGAATCGTGAAGCAATTCAAGGTGGGCCCCCACTCTCAACTCGGGAAAAGGGATCACAAAGGGCTTGGCAACAGCAAAAATTACAAGAATCCAGGACTTTCCTTAAATTAGAGTCAGCAACAGAATCTTGAAAGTAGCATTCCTGGAAATTCAATCGGTTTCTGCGATTTTCGTTGCGTTCCAGTTTTTTTTTCCGGGACATGTTGGGTTTGCGAGCTGCCTCCCTTATCATACCAGCATAGTTGGTGTGCATCGAGGTACAAACTTGTGGATGACATGTGTTCAGGCTCATGCAGCAATAAAGATGGATCATCCTATTTGTGTGAGTTGCTGTACCTAATTGCGCCTCACATCCACACCTTATAGCCTGGGAGGGTACCTTTATAATCTTTTATGTTTGACTCATTTTTTGGTCGACGTTCATGGCATTATGATATCATCATTTTGCACTATAGACGGCTAAGATTGTGTCAATGATATTGATTGAACACGGTTGGATCTCCATGATGGCATGATGGCTGGCGACAACTTCAGCTAGGAAACACGGGACAACCCCTTTGTAATATCATGTAATATAGATTATATAATAATAATATTAATAATATACATTTCAATTTCAATTCACATATATTATTTATCATATATTATATATATACAGCTGCATAATGCTGCATATATATACATATATATATATATATACGAGATATGTATGATGATGCTCTAAAGTCATCTAAATTCTATGTATATCACTGAATTATGTGTTTTACATGTATAATATAGTATTATATATATATACTTATACATGTGTAACTATACGTATATTTGCTGTTTCCCAACAGCAGGACGCGATTGCAATGGATGCCTGGGCCTTCTCTGGAGATCAAATGGGAGTTCCTCGGCACGTGCCGAAGCAATGGAGTGCAATGGCCATTCCATGTATGGTTGGACACAAACGTCTATGATGCTCTTGGTTAATAAATGAAATATGTATGATATATCCCATATATATCCCATATATATATATATCCCATATATATATATATATATCCCATATATATCCCATATATATCCCATATATATCCCATATATATCCCATATATATCCCATATATATATATATCCCATGAGATCTATTTTCAATGGCCATTTTAGGGGTATGAATCGGTATATATCCCAACTGATGGAGGTTATCCCGTTCAATGGCCATAAAGCCATACAACTTGGGGGTGTATCCCCTGAAGTTTACATAGGCCTAAAAATAGACCAAAAATATATGGTAGGTACTTCCAATTTAGCTTCCTGAAATGGAATTCCCATTTCGGATGGATGATACATGGGGCGCTTTTCCTCCTATGTTGCAAAGTGCGAGGGACCCAGGAAGCTGCAGGGGTGAACCACGGATGGATGATAAGAATCATCAGTAATAAATCAGGTTGTATAGCCCCCTATCATGGGTAATCAACCAGGGTTTGAACACTGCTCACCAGAAGACTCCGACTTCCTTTTTGGGCCGAATCCAAACACCATCACATCATTCTCCAAGTGCCAGTAGTAGTCTCGGTTGAAATCCGCATTTTGGTGAGGATGAACTCTACATTTTTAGCGTGGCCAATCCTTCCATTTGTCTTGGTTGAAGCTGAGTACAGGAGCTAAAGTCCAAGTTTATGGTAGGTCATGTTGGGTCATTCATACGACATACATATACAGTAAAAAAAGAAAAAAATATATATATCATATACTAGACACAACACAAAACACACAGACACGCCCGCACACATACACACATACACACATACACACATACACACATACACACACACACATATATATATATACAGTCACCGACAGAATTATGGAAAAAAACAAAACGTTTCAATTTACAGGCGCCGCCTGTCTATGATAGAAAAGTTACGAACCTTTTTTTTTTCCATAATTATTTTTTCCATAATTATTTTTTTCCATAATTCTGTCGGTGACTGTATGTCCATCGATTCGCAATTTGAATGCATTTTAAGGGGGAATATTGAATTATAGAAAATATGTGTCTAAAGATCTGGTATATGCCCCTAAGTCTTCCATAGTGGTACCAACAAAGGAAAAACAATTGCACCACCAAAACTCATTGTTGTACGTACATACATATGCGGGATGTATCCTTTTGCCAAGCCACCAATTGGGTTGATACTACATACTTGCATTTGCATACATATTTCCATAACCCCCCAAAAAAGGGGTTTGAATTGTGGATCCATGACATGTCCAACAGGTGGAGCCCCAAACATTAATTATGGAAAAAATAATTATGGAAAAAATAATTATGGAAAAAAATAATTATGGAAAAACCGGTCAATCTGCCCTAGCCCCCTGATTTTACAGGAAAAAACAATTATGGAAATAATGGCCACCTCCAAGAATTATGGAAAAAAAAGGTTCGGATCACTTCCGGGATATTTTGAACCCTTATGGGGAAAAACCTAATTATGGAAAAATCGGACGCAGGCGCCGCCTGTCTAAGTTGAACGTTTTTTTTTTCCCCATAATTCTGTCGGTGACCATATGTCATTATCCTAATATATTGAATGATCTATATATATATATATATGCACATAATATGCCCACATGGGCTACATAGACAATATATGTATATAATCCCACCCCCAAACATTGAACACCGCCCAGAAACCATGGGCATATAAGTTATATGGTTATTATATGGTGCTTTGCAGCGGTTTTTTCCTATCCCAGTCGTCATCGATGACGTCTGAGATGCTGATCTCCAACGCCATGATTCTGGAGGAGGTGGAAGCGGCCAAGGCCTGTGGAAGCCATGGCCGATGTACCTCCTAACAGCTAAAATATCCTTTGACCCAGGGTATATATTAATATGTATATATATATATATATATGTGTGTGTGTATACTGTATAAATATATATATACTGTATATATATATATATATATGAATAATATTCTTGCCCCCAAAGATCTGATGGGTAAAAAAGGGGAATTACCCGAAACTTGCAAAACCATGCGTAGCTCTGACTTGGGAATTCTTATGATTTGCCCAGATTAACATCAAAAAAATCAGTGTACAGGATCCAAACTAGGAGTCTAGTTTTAAAAAAGGTTTGACAAGCAAAGGTCGCCAACTGCATGATTGCTTTGTTGATTTATTTATGATTGTTGACAATTGTCCCTTTTCCTTGCTGAACCCTGCTGTATGCATCTCTTAGACTGTTTGACTGTTATTGTGGTGGATTCAGCCCGCTAGATTTGTTGGGCATCCCCATTTTGACCGTGGTTCACCATCTCGGAACATGGTAGCTTAATATTCATGATCAGCGGGAAATCCACTTGTCATGCCATGTTCCCCATTGTCCGCTAAGTGTCAACATCTGAGCATTCAGCACATGCAGATTCATGATCCTTCGCATCGACAGTGCATTGTCACTTGACTTTGTGCACCGAAATCGCAGGTGCGCACCTCACGCCAATAGATCAAAATGTGGTAGTGCTAGTGCACTCATTTCGCTGTGTTGGCACCGGAGCCTTTTGAAGGCTCTGCCACTTTTCCATAGCCCATGCATGATGATGATGATGATGATGATGATGATGATGACGACCCAACGCCACAACATGAGGAGCACCAAGTTTTTGTTGCCAGGTCCATGGTTGGATGTGAAAACCACGTCAGACTGGCGGACGCTAAAAAGGCTTCTGGCTTCCTCATTTTGGACACCGCATGCCAAAGGTTCTGCGATGGCTGGCAAAGGATGGTCAGATGCTCATTCCGCAGAGCTGAAACCATGGAGTGTTGTTCCAGTCACCAGGGACAACCACTACAAGCAAGTCATAGACTCCTTTTTCCAGCTGCTCTTGGTGAAGCTTGCGTTGTCATTGCACCCTGCATTCTTGATGCCCAGATTCCATGTTTGGCAAGCAGAACTTTGTTGACAGATGTCGGTGCAGCCATAGATTTGGGCAAACATGTTGTTCACTTCACCAAACTCAACACTTCAGTGAACTTGCAGATTGTCAATGGTCATGTAGGCATCAACATTGCAGATTTCTCTAATAGTCCACAAGCACTTCAACTTTGGAACGTTTTTTGCCACGACTGTTTGAAAGAAGGAAATCAGCACATGCACGAGGAGTACATCAATCTCACACCATTGGCATCTCAAAGCACTCTAGCTGACGCTTCATCAGCTGAAAGTTTCATCTCACAGTTCGACTCATCACATGGAGCACGGCCCTCGCCCTCCTCCACCATGGATAATAAACTGGCGAATCCTGGTGAGCAAGGCAATGATCTGGGCAAAGCAGGCTCAGAGATTCTTGCGGACCCCTATATCACTGCCTATGACAACGGCATCAACCGAGCCGTCAACGACAAGGAGCCAGAGACCACCATGTCAGCACAAGTACATCAAGCGAAGCGGCAATCGCCACGGAAGCTTTGCACGATGTCTGGTGGAAGTACGACCAAGGATGGGTGCAACACACAGAATCCTCTCGTTCCTCACCATTGCCACTGCCTTCCTCCACCACAACTGTGTTGGACAGCTCATGGAAAAGCGCGGCAGCATCGAGCAAGAAGGCACCTTCCAAGCCTTCGAAGAATTCTGGGTACCGCGCTTTGACTGCGAAAGCGGCGCCCAAGAGTCAAGCCAAGTCCAAGGGCAAGGCGGCAATGGTGGACGTCGAGGAACATCCTTGGAAACTTCTGGAACCACCACGCATTGCGGATGAGGAGGAGGAGGAGTTGATAAGCAGCCAGGACGACTACAACTGGGAAGAGCTCGGGAATTGACTGGACAACTTGAGAGGTCTTCTCAAGTTTTGGAGGCTGAGCTGCAAGCCTACAAGAAGCTGCCGCCAGCAACCAAAGTGTCCAAGATCGATATAATGGAGCTCTATGCGGGCCATGCCGACATCGCCCACCAGTATGACCTCAAGGCCCTCGAGCCCTACGACCTGATCTATGTGCACAACATGAGTAAGGACAAGTACAAGAGGTCATGGCGACAAGCTCAAAAGTGGTTCTCACCACTACTCGTTGTTGTGGAAACGGAATGCACATTCTGGAACATCTTCAACGAAAACCGGAACTATGCGGGCAAAGACAGAATGGATGAGCTTGAAGCCCTCAGAGAAGAACAGCTGCCACTTGTCAGGGAAGGAGTGCAGTCCTGCCTTCGATAAATAGCTGGTGGATGCTGATGGCAACTACTTCTTGTTTAACCCAGAGAAGTCTCGAATCTGGGACATTCCTGAAGTTCAACAATTAGCAACACGTGATGACGTTCACATTACAGCAGACATGCCAGAGCCACCTGTCCCACTGGACACCATCGACCTCACAGATGAGCCGCACCGGTCCTACTACCACAGCTTCCACAGAAGCGTACACACGAAGCAATGCTGGCACACGCCTGGGATGGATCACCGGAAACCATCACCGTGCCTCACTGTGCTGAACGTGTACCACCAATTCTACGAGAGGAAGGGCATCCCGCCCTCCTCACCGACCTGACAAGTCATCAATCAGAATCTGATGCTGAGTCCAGCGATCTGGAAGAGGAAGCAATGGATCCGCTGAAGGGGCGTCAGACCAGAAAGGAAGCCAAAGCCTTGGAGCGCGAAGTGCCATGGCGCTCAATGCTTCGGCTACCACCAGAACAAATAGTTGCCTACATCAAATTCAATCAGAAGGAAGAAACTGGCTGGCAGAAGTGGGGCTCCATTGAGCCGAATCCTGATGATGAGGAAGACAAAGATTCCTCACAGGAAACGCCGAGTTTTGAGAAGCAGGGCATGCTACCACAACAAGAGCCGCGATCCCAGCAAGCTGATCGCAAAGACTCGGGTAGTTGCTCTAGGTCACCTCGACCCAGACCTTTACAAGGTGGCACGCGATTCACCGACACCTTCGAGGACATCTGAATACCTCTTGCTCTCCATCTTCATTGCAGGAGCAAATTCCCTCTTGCAGAATTCTCTGGTGACCTGGATGCTATGGGCTGGCGACGTTTCCACCGCCTTCTTGCAGGGGGTCCTTCGACGAAAAGTAGAGGACAGAGCCCTCTTGTACCTGCTTCCACCAAGAGATCGAGTGACTTTGATGGCAAAGACATCTATGTCAGTCAAATCGAGCATCTATGGACTGGCCAATGCTCCTCGCACCTGGTTTCTTGAAGTGGTCCGCAGGATGAAGTCCATCAACTATCTTCAACATAGCTTGGGCCACCTGCTTTTTTTTACCAGATCGAAGCAGGTTAACTTCTCTCAGTTTGCATCGTCTACGTCGACGACTTCCTGCTGACCTGCAAAAAGACTTATAAATAAATCAGAACTGCTTGACCTCTTCACATGCGAATCACAAAAGCAGCTCGCCTTGGAGCAGCCCCTTGAGTTCAAAGGCAAAGAGCTCACTTTGAAGAAGACCAAAGATAACAAGCTGCACCTTCATGTCACGCAAGCAAAGCTCATCATGAACACTGAGAAGGCAAGGTGCAGAAGGGCAGAATCTCTCAAGGTCCTCCACTCACCACCGCCGAGGAGACAGAGCTCAGGTCCGTGACAGGATCACTGCAGTGGCTGGTGGCCAGTCAAACTCGGCCAGATATAGCAGTGGAAAAGAAACAGGACAACTCTACGAGACATTGGAGTTCTGCAAGCTTACTGCGGAACACGGCCTGGTGTTCCAAGATGTGGCAATCAATCAAGCCTCCATGTTGGCAGGCTACTCAGACAGCTCCTGGGCAAATGCGGCCCTTCTTATCACCACCCCTGCCTGCACTGAAGTGGTGGCCAAGGGCAACTTGATCGATTGGAAAAGCAATCGAAGCGCACGGGTCTGTAGATCCACCTTGGCAGCTGAAGCTATCGCATGTGACGACCGCGTGGACAGGACCATCTACGCCAATGCCATACTGAGCGAACTACACAGCGGCGTCAAGGCCCACAAAGATCCAACTGGATGGCGACTTCGCCAACTACAAGTCACAAAGAGCTTGTATGATGCCGCTGCCGAAAACCCACACACAACTGAAAGCGAACCTACGTGGACATTCGCAGCATCCAGGAGTATATCAACCATAAGGCCATTCACTGGGTGCCGAGGACCGTGCAGTGGGCCGATGGACTGACGAAATTCTCGCAGGCACTTCGATCTCTTTTTCTCGAATGGATTATGCGACCATTCATCCAACTGTCAGCAAAGGATCACGAAAAGAAAAACACACCAGTGTCAACATTTGAGCATTCAGCACATGCAGATTCATGATCCTTCGCATCGACAGCGCATTGTCACTTGACTTTGTGCACTGAAATCGCAGGTGCGCACCTCAAGCCAATAGATCAAAATATGCGAGTGCTAGTGCACGCATTGCGCTGTGACTAAGTACTTGGTGGATTTCAAATAGCCAATGTGGTTGGCAGCGATTCCGCAGGTGAAGTTTGGTCAAGCCTTGATGGCTGGCACCTTGGGGTCCGAGCTCACCAGCCGTGCCAATGCCTGGCAGCAGGATGAATTTGATTTGGGCGGGGTCCAGGAATTCTGGTTGGATCTTTGTTGAAATTCATCTGTTTTGAATGGATTTGAATGGTCTTTGAGGCTTCAAACGCGTCTTTATGTGTTTTTCATGGTTGGCTTACCCTGTGGATTATGATCCCAACTGACTCATACGAGGATAAATAACCATTTGGATGGAAATCTGGAATTAGTTTGAATGAACAAACATGATCAGCCGTGGACGTGTAACCACGAACGCATGGGCGCACACGAAAAACTAAAATTGATGCACTTACCCTCTGGTAAACTAACATAACTGTGGAAAATCACAATTTTTAATGGGTAAATCAACTATAAATGGCCATTTTCAATAGCTATGTTAAATTACCAAGGGGTACACCAAAAATTATCAGGATAATTTCGAGCAGCCTCATGGCCCACCGACCCTCAACGATGTTTACGCTTGGGAGGATCAAGTTCAAGGCCTCAAATGATACGTTGGGAACGGAATCAAAACCAATGATGCATGACAATGCCGGATCATGATTCATAGGTATAGTGATTGGGAATCCAAAAAGGGTCATTTTTTTTCCATCATTTTTTTCTGTGATGAAGACGCTTGGGCTTGAATGAAAGACTTGCATGGAACAACTCCGCATATGACCTGCGATGTGGACGCAGCCAATGACTTCGAGTTTTGTTGACTCTGGCTCCCCCAGCCACTAGGGAAATGCCATGCTCAACCATCCACAGGTGATGTTGAAATCCCCAAGAGTTGGAACATGTTCCCAGCTCACCTCTCTAGGAGCGAGAGGAAGAGTTTGAGCGCCAGAAAGCCGAAGCGGCGATTCGGATCCAGGTGGGAAAAAACCGTTCTTCCCAGGAATCTTAAGAGGCAGATGATCCAGCAAAATAATATATATAGTTGGGGTTATAACCCGCCTACTACCTGAGGTGAATCACCAAGTTATACAATTGTTACTGGTGCATGCTTCTTGCGGGCTGTCCCTGTCCTTGATGGGTTTCTTTCGCCACCAGTGCTGGTTTTGCACGAGTTGTCGTTACCTTCCGGTCTGTTTCTAGTATTGGTTGCATCGTTTTTGTGTGAGTGTGAAATCTCTGTGCCTGGTGCCTGTCCCATTACCATGTTTGCCATCGTTTTGTGGAGAAACCCGCCATTCTTGGGTTCTTGATGGCCAGGTTGGATTCCCCATTTTAACGGTGGATCAGATTCCCATCTCCAACATGGTTTGCTGGAAAATCACCCATTTAGTTCGATGATTTTCCCATTAATAAAACATTTATATAAACAACATAAACATCCATCCACATGTTTGGGGATTTCCATGGTTTCCGTGGAATGTTCATAGATTCATAGATGTTTATGGATTTCCGATGTTTTACCAAGGGAGAACTTCCCCATCCGTGGTGAAAAACTCTCCTCCATTGGCCTTGGCTTGGCTTCACAGGCCATCCAGCGTGGACGGCAAGAACGGGTGAAGGCGGAGCAAAGGGCGAAGGGAAAGCAGGAGCGTTCCGCTGGGCCCGGATGGATTTGAGCTGGGAAAAGTTGCAAAAATGCTGACTTGACCTGTAAAAAATGAGTGATTTTAATGATGTACATGATTGAAATGTATTTCAGCCATACCATCCCTCCAAACTCGACCCTGCTATGAGTTAGAGGATGACTTTGCGGCGAGGGGATGCTAGGGGTCTGAGACTAAACGAGGTTGGAACTTCAGTAGCCATGGTGGGCGAAACTGGGAGAAAAATCATCAGTCAGGTAGCTGGGTGCCGCAAACGAAATGAAGGTATAAAATGGTATAAAAAATATCAAAGAAATACAAAGATTACAAAGAATACATATGAGGTCCTCAGGGAACTATGGCACCCAGTTGTAAATGTGGTGACTGCGTTGGCAGACTTACAGTGCAAGATTTTAAACGGGAACCACAAATAGGAAAGTTGTTGTCCAAGTTGGGAGCGGCTGTGCCAGGCTGAGGTGATTAGGACAGCTGGTCATTCATTGAGAGGTTCCAACATGGTCAAAGAACAGGGGAAGACGAACACATTGGTGTTGTCATGCTTGCAAAGGTTGTGATTACAGGAGATTCTCGTGCGTTTTTCCTTTTTAATTCGATTTCATGAAAATGGAGAAATCATAAACACCCAGCCAGATGGTCCGTCCATGAAATCATAGCATGTTGGCAACTGTGCAGGAACCCTCGGTGCCCGCAAAAGAGGCTGGGCTGCGGCCAGTGGCCCCCGCGATTGGAGCCGGTTAAGATTTTCTGCAAACGTGGTGGTTGGTGGTGAACACATTCCATTTTCGGTTGGATATATTGGCAAACACAAGCCCAAACACATCCCGGTGTTGGAAGTTGGAGTGCCACAGCAAATTGAGCTTGGCGACCTTAAAGAAACATTTCGAATGATAGCGATGACAAGCAAATATCGTACAGAGCGTAGGTGAGTCTTGGAGATGACCCTCAGCTGGTAGACCATCTTTCTGAGAGCTTGAGATCCTCAACATGTTTTGCCAATCCATTGAAGCCCTGGGAATAGCAGAGATAATCTTAATATATTACACCAATAGTATCTGAAACCCATTGAATGTTATGTCTGAAAGTATTCTGAAAAATATCTTGAGGCAATCTTCCCACACACACACACACCGAGTTTTTTGATGTCGATGGATTTTTCATAAATAGTTGAAAAAGTTGAAAATAAATATTGTTCATTTTTGGATGGATTTGTGGGTTTGACGATTGTTGTTGTGAAAAATGACAGTCTCATCCCATTTTCAAGGATATCGATATCTACAGTATTTCCGCAGGTTTGGGACCACTTCGTGACCGTTTTGGATAGCAAATTGGTTTTGTTGTGGGTGACATTGGCCGCCCCCAAAACAATCCGAGTCAACTCTCACAGTTGCCCCAAAACCCACAGGCCGTGCGGTTCCACTTCAGTGGATATATAGCCATAGTGTGCCATAGTAGCATATACCGATATGATATGACCCAACTTGTGGGGGTCACATTTACACTCGCAATCACAGACTCAGATGTATATATATATACACACATACATATATATATAATATATATATACAAACATACTGTATATATATATGCTATAGAATAATGTATAATATTTACATATATTTCTATAGTAAATCATCCCGGCGGACCGGAAACCGTGCTCGTAAAACTCGTTTTTTCCCAAAATGAGTATGGCACTGGGGCGAAACGCGACTTTCTTTTTGTGAAAAACGTCCAAAAAACGGATTCCATCTTCGCGTTTTACCAACAGCTCATGTTCATCGGTTTTGCGTTTCGAAGCTTCGATCGTCTTCACAAGTTGGCACTGAGGTTTATGTACCTCCATTGCCAAGACTTGGTGTACATTTGCCAGTTGTGTTATAAGCGTCGATAACAGCGTAGTAAGAAGTTAATAGAGAAGATAACAATGTAGTTGCAACTTGTGTTACAAGAGCCCGTAATGTAGTTGGAAGTTGCTAGAGAAGATAACAACATAGTTGCAAGTTGTGTTACAAGAGTCCCTAACGTAGTTAGAAGTTGTTAGTACCAAAGACGTTAATAGCCCACCCCACCCCACCCCTCAACCCACCCCACCCATGCAAGTGTTTAGAGAAGTTATAGTGACGTAGTTGGATGTTGTTAGTAACAAATTAGAAGTTAGTAACGTAGTTACAAGTACAAGTTGTTAACACCGTTAGCTTTACGAACACTTTTTTTGTCCGCAGGCTAAATCTTATCAATGGATGGATGGATAGATGGATAGATAGGTAGATAGATGGATAGATAGGTAGATAGATAGGTAGATAGATAGATGGATAGACGGATAGACAGGTAGACGGATAGATGGATAGATAGGTAGATAGATAGATGGATAGATGGATAGATAGGTAGATGAATAGATAGATAGATAGTTAGATAGATGGATAGATACTGTAGATATGTATATGGGTAGATGGATAGATAGATAGATAGACAGATAGACAGATAGACAGATAGACAGATAGACAGAAAGACAGATAGACAGATAGATCGATAGATTCGATGTATTCGATATATTCGATAGATAGAGATAGAGATAGAGATAGATATAGAGATAGAGATGGACATTGATAGATTGATAGATATTAGATAGATTAGACAGATTAGGTAGATGGATAGATGGATAGATAGGTAGATAGATAGATGGATAGATAGGTAGATAGATAGGTAGATAGATAGATGGATAGACGGATAGACAGGTAGACGGATAGATGGATAGATAGGTAGATAGATAGATGGATAGATGGATAGATAGGTAGATAGATTGATGGATAGATAGATAGATAGATGGATAAATAGGTAGATAGATAGAAGGATGGATTGATAGATAGATAGATAGATAGATAGGTAGATAGATAGATAGGTAGATGGATAGATGGATAGATAGGTAGATAGATAGATGAATAGATAGGTAGATAGATAGATGGATAGATGGATAGGCAGATGGATAGAAAGGTACATAGATAGATAGGTATATAGATAGATGGATAGACATGTAGATAGATAGAAAGATAGATAGATGGATGGATGGATAGATAGATAGATAGAATAGATGGATAGATGGATAGATGAATAGATGGATAGATGGATAGATGGATAGACATGTAGATAGATAGGTAGATGGATAGATGGATAGATGGATAGATAGATGGATAGATGAATATATAGATAGATAGATATTAGATAGATAGATAGATGGATAGATAGATAGATAGATCGACCGATTGATCGATCAATCGAAATATATACATATATATAGATAGATAAATAGATAGAAAGATAGATAGATCGATAGATAGATCAATAGATAGATTGATAGATAGATCGATAGATAGATAGATAGATAGATCGATAGATCGATAGATCGATAGATCGATCGATAGATGGATAGATGGATAGATGGATAGATGGATAGATGGATAGATGGATGGATAGATAGATAGATAGATCGATAGATAGATAGATAGATGGATAGATGGATAGATGGATAGATGGATGGATAGATAGATAGATAGATCGATAGATAGATAGATAGATGGATAGATGGATAGATAGATTTGATGATAGATAGATAGATAGATAGATAGATAGATCGATAGATCGATAGATCGATAGATCGATAGATCGATAGATCGATCGATAGATGGATAGATGGATAGATGGATAGATGGATAGATGGATGGATAGATAGATAGACAGATAGATAGATGGATAGATGGATAGATAGATTTGATGATGGATAGATGGATAGATTGATAGATGGATAGATGGATAGATGGATAGATGGATAAATAGATAGATTATATACACATAAATATCATAACTATACATTTGATCAGTCTGTTAAAACCATGATTTGGTTCACTGATTCCGCACGCTTTCCGCCCTTCAGGACATCGAGGCCCGAAAAGCCATGCTTCGAGAAGCCCTGGAGGTGGCGCTGAGCGACGGCACGTTGGACGCTCGGGGATGGCAAACGATATATGCTGGGATGGGGTAAGGCGGGTTCACATTACTTGCTATATGAATTTGTAAAGCACCATACAGACTATACCATGATATAACATCATATAAAATCTATACAAGATGATTGAACGAACATCCACCGCGCCTGTCCTGTTTAATCTTCAGGAGGATTGCCAGGAATGGTGTTTATCCCCCATCGGATGTGTTACCATGATCTAGTTTCCGATTGTTGTTCGATAGGGCTTTCCGTATTATTATATGTTGTTTTACCATATGGTAAACTATGTTTTACCATGAATGCAAAGGTCGTATGAATCACCCCCCTAAAAGGTAAAAATCACCCCCAATTAAAGAACTAGGGCTTGTCATACATAAAAACAACCAACCTGCCCGCCAACCTGCCTGGTCAGAATTTCATTCCGAAATCAATTTACTTTCAATTGATTTTCCGTTTAAATCTAAAGGATAAGTCAGGATTTCAATTGAAATCAGTTTATGGCCGGGGGGGCTAAGGGTGTTTTTTAGTTGGGGATGCGCATGCACACTATTGGGGGGCGACAACCTACCTGAGCGGGTACCCTTTAAGAGCTTCTCAAAATTCAATTTTTTAATAAAAAAGTAATCAGGAAAATACATTTTTGTTCAATCAGAAATTTTGGGATTTCCCGAAAATTTGGGGATTCTATGCCTTGAATCTCTTCAATCTCAGCACCAGAACCATGAGGTCAGAAACATCAGAACCAAATCACTTTCTCACCACTGACCACTAAAAAAACTATATAGGATTTCTGAGCAGGGTGTTGTTTAATAGGGCGGGTGTCGCACATGTTGATTAATAGGGAGGGACCCACCCAAAATAGTATTGCCAAAAGGTTTTTGCTGTGCGGGCGTTGATTAATTCGGGGATGCTTATTCATGTGAATTTAACATAATTTAACATTATGTTGTTTCTTTTTCCTTCCCTAATAGCCACAAGGACCTTTGAAGGGCGAAGATTTGTCACGGGGGGTGAGACCGCAACAAAAACGTGAGCCACGCTTCAAAACATGTTCGACTCCAAAAAAAGGATGGTATATGACGGTTAAAGCGCAACATTTAACCATTTTTTGCATAATTTTTGATGATTGGTACATAAAATTGCTCACTTACAGTGACAGCTTCAGCTTCCGTATTTCGGGCTGCGCCGGCTGTGCCACATTTTTTCCAACAAGGAACAGGTGCTGATGGACTGCAGCCCCAAGGTTGAGAAGGATCAGGAAGTTGAAGTTGGGTCAGGGCACAGGTCGCAAATTCACACAATCTTGATGCTTTGTTGGGCGAAAATTAGTCTTCCCGGCCCTTGGCCAATCTTTTCTCAAGTTGGTCTCAAGCTCAACTTATGCCAACAAACATCTCGATAAACAAAAATCACGAAACCAAACCATTTGTTGAAATTCAATCAGGAAGCAGGATTCAGCCCAGCACAGCCAGGACATCCGGATGATGGCCCGCAAATGCCTGACAGATGCAGTCAGTGATGGACGCTTGCAGAAGGTCGCCATGGAGAAGGCCAGTGGTAGCATATCATTGCTATATGGAGGTTCCATGAGGTTTCCATGGGGGGTACCCCGATAAGGGAAAATCCGATCTATAAATGGATGATGAACAGGGGTACCCCCATTTCAGGAAACCTCCATATATTCTTACATAGATCCCCCATTAAATTAAATGGAGAGCTGACTACATGATGGCATATGGAAATACAAGGACATGTGTTTAAATCTATTTCATGGGATGTTGTATATAAATGATTTGCTGTTTAGTGGGATTGGAATTGATGTGGTTTGAGAACGGTTCCCACGCCGGGAACAAGAGACGGGAAGGTCATCAATGCCTGTTACTGTATATAGGTCGTAAAGCATGCTGTTTTAGGATGCACAATCTCGACACATACCAATATTACTGTAGAATATTGCAAGGGATAGCCAACAGCCATACACCCAGACGAGCGCAGGATGTCAGCTAATAAGAAAAACTAATAATAATAGGGTAATATTATATAGACATATATAGACTAATAATATTCATAGTAGTAATTCGAAGGTCTGCGCCAAGGTACTTTCTCGTTTGTGGTCTTGCTCAGGTCAAGTGTCTGTCTCAAGTATCCCCATTGAAACACGACGGACGACGAAAGACGACGAAGAGAAAAAAACGAGCAAAAGGGTTTCAAGGGTTCCTCTACGGGACCTCCGGGGGAAGAAATTCCAAGGGTTCCTCTCCGGGACCTCCGGGGAGGAAAAAAAAAAATAAAATAAAAAATTAAGACGGGCACATACCATTGAGAAAAACACATAGCATGTTTTATGCATATTTGCAATGTTCGGTGGCAAGTGTTCTTCCCCGGGGTATGGGTTTGTCTCCGGGATTTTAGATTTTTTTCTTTTTTTTTTGCGACCTTGAGCGCGACCCTTCACTGTGGGAAAACACTTGGCCCTGAGAAATCCTTCGAATATGGGAAAGTTTTCCAGGAATACGGCTGGGAAACCAGGACCTTTGAGGAGGGGAAAAAGAAAGCACCTTTGATACAGGGAGGAGGGTTGAGACAGGCACATACCATTGAGAAGGTAGAAAACCCTTCATCCAGACTTTTGAGTAATAATAAGAATAAAGGTTAATAATGACTATTAATGAATCTGAAGTTTTGCCATCCATTGAATACTGTTTCAGCGACTCATGCCGAACTCTGTATCTTTGCTCATATGTCAGGGGACATTTATATGGGTAATTACTAATCTGTCCATTAACTGCTAAATCGAAACCATCTTGACGGGATGAGGGCTCAATGATCCAGCATGTGAAGGCACTTCTTTGCCACAGCATGGAATACATGTGTGCAAATTAGATCACAACGTCATCACATCGTTACCAGATATCCTGGTGACTGTAAACTGCAAAGTCGTCCAGCATCTCAGGTCAGGTGAATTGTGATTATTACTTTTAACTGTTATCATAGCGCCTCAGGACTATGAAGTCTACTACCCTGGGAAGCTTGAACTGTTAATGTTATCATTCAGTTTTATACGTATGGATTCCCACCAGGTACATAGAACGTGGTGCCCCCAAGGTATTTCAATCTATATATATCCGCCGCAAAGTGTAGCTATACAGAAGTTGTATACCAACGCGGCATAACTTGGCAAACTACTTGGAGGAGGTGCAACTCCAGTCATAAGTGGATATATTTCACCACAGTCAAAGAGGCCCCATATACCAACAAACATGGGAGTTATAGTCCGATAAGTTGTTATCTCCATGCAACACACCCCAACCGGAGATAATTCGTAGTTTTATTATAATTACATATTTATACATTATAACATATTATAACTTGATTTTCATAACTGTCCCACATCATGCCAAAATTATCCCATACTCTCCCAACATTATTCCAGACGTCCCCGATCATTTTCTCAGACGCAATCATCATCTGTCAAGTTGTTCACAGCCCACCTGAGACTCTGAGATCATCAGCAGTGTTCAAGACCCCTGTTGGTTGATGATTCTTGATGATTCTTGCACATTTAGAATCATTTATAAAATCATTTTCAGGTTTTTAATAATCCATGGACTGGGGATAATAATATATAATAATCATCTCTAATAAACATGTCATTTTGATTCTACTGGGGATCCAAGAAGTGTCAGCTCCAGGCGTCCCAGAAACACCTGCAGCTCCGCGAACAGATCTCCGCGCAGCTGATGAGCGCGGCAGAGGATGGACGCCTTGAGGCCGCCTTGGCGCGGCAGGCCAGGTGGGGGTCGGATGGGGTCCGCGGATCCGGAAGATCTGCCTGGGCAGTGACTGGAAGGGATGGGAATATAACGGTTATAACATGTTATAACATCTTACTACCACAATGGAGGTTTAATACTACGACAACATGGAGGTTTCATGATTTTAGAGGGTTAAACTTCACACATGGGGTGTTCACCATTAGAAGATGTTCGAAGCAGCTCGGTAAATGGCAATTTCATGGGATATTGGGCCAGAATTGGATATAAAGATATTTCGACTGGGTTAACCAACTGGATGCTGTAGTTTAGTGCGGTCATAACCTTTGGCTATAAGTGAACATGAAGAATCCCAACTGAATGTATGCAGGATGTCCAAGATCGGCCATGTCTTGGAGGTAATCAGCGAGAATGATATTGATCAATGGATTATTTAGACGATCTTCATAGAGGAATCCCATCCCCCTGAAGTTCAACAGCACCGAGCCAAAACCCTGGTGGAAGGTATTGTTGGATCTACTGTCCGCCCACTTGGTCATGTAGATAGTTTGCTCAACTCAGCGGATATTGACATAGCAATCGTTTGTACATGATGTTCCCAACTATAAACCTCCATTTAGTGCTGGGGTTTTCCAGCCATGCTTGATGACACCTGATGCTTCAATAAAATCAAGGCTTGACAATGTCCATCTTCTGGCCAGGGTAACGTGAGGTGACCATCGAACAGAATGATATTGGCAGTTCCAAACAACGCCTTTGGGAGTCCCAAGAAGATGACAAAGATGAGAACAAAGATTTAACAAAGATTAGAACAGTGATTCCAGGATCCATAGGATAACCATCGGGGATGCCCCAGAGAACCTCCAAAGGTGCAGAAGGGCAAGATCGTGGACGAGGTCATTGACGTGAAGAAGGGAATGAGTGCTGGAAACTGAGGACCTGTGTGCCGCCAACATTCCCAGGATATACAGTGGAGCCATCTTTGACACATTTTAGAGGGAAGATATCTGAGATACAAGGAAACCAGAGATTTCAAAGCTAAGTTTGGGGTTGAACATGGACCCAGCATGTCCACACTACATCTACTGAGTGGTGACTCCGCGCTAAGTTTGCGCTGAATGACCACGGCATCAGCCAAGGTCACCAACATGAGGCGGCAGCAAAGCGGGCACGTCCTTCAATTCACTGCAACTGATGTGTTGGTGAAGCTTGGCCAAGAGCTGCTGTTGGAAATTTAATTTACAATTGACTACAGTACACCTTTTAAAAAACCGGGAATATGCCGTGCAATATTCATGAATATTCTGCAACTGGGTCAACTTGGTTAGCCCCCCAAAAGTGGATCCCGTGACCAAAATCTTTCCTCACGGGTCTTACTGAGGAAATATGAGGATGGCAAGACGGAGTGGACCGAGATTGAAGACTTGAAAAAGCTGTGGATCCTCAGTTGCGATTAGAGTCAGGTCCAAAGAGCCAACGAACCCACCAGAGGTCAACGGCTGTGGTGATAGCACGTCAGTGATGGTAGGGTCTATCTCAGTTACCACTGTTCCAAAGCATGGTTGACGCACATGCTTGATTATCAACCAATGCCTAACTTGGATGTTTACCCAGAGGTATCCAGAGATGTGATCCATTGCAGTGCTCTGCTGGTTTTCCCTTTGTCCATTTGGGATGATGACGATGACCGTGGGATGTGCTGAGCCACCAAGGTGGTTCGGAAGGACGAGCTGGTTGGTGAGATCATCGACGTGAGGAAGGGAATGCGTGCTGGAAACTCAGGGGGCGTTCCCCAAAATGCTGATCATGTTAGTAATTTGTATATAGTTATGTATGCAGTAAATTATACCCAATTAAGAACCACAAATGGGTGGTATAAACCATCAACATATGGGTGGTTTAACCTCGGACGGGATTGAAGCTGTAGGATGCCAACTTTCCCTGGGTATACCCCAAATTCACCTGTTCATCACATTTCATCACCATATTCCCCAGAAAAACGTCATTTTGGTGGAAGTCTGGATCCATTTTTATAGGAAGATCTCAAGTCATTAAGGAATACCTAAAATAATAGAGTATCATAAAACATAGAAACGAACAACATCCGAAGTTTGGGATGGAACGTGAACTCAGACTTTCAGACAGGTCCGTGGCAAGTGTTTACCATGGCAGCCCCTAGGTCACCAACACGCGTTTCCAACAGAATGGGCAGGTCATGCAGTATACTGCAACAGATGTTTTGGTGAAGCTTGGCTGGTCAAATATGGAGGTGCTATTTTTTTATTTTTTTGTTTTTTTTGTTTTCCAGCCTGGCTTTGTGGCTTTTGTGGCTGCTGTGGCTTTTGTGTGTGTGTGGCTTTTGTGGCTTTACCATGCTTTACCATGCTTTACCTATCTATCTATCCATCCATCCATCCATCCATCCATCTATCCATCTATCTATCTACCTATCTATCCATCCATCCATCCATCCATCTATCTATCTACCTATCTATCTATCTATCTCTATCTATCTATCTATCTACCTATCTATCTATCTATCTACCTATCTATCCATCTATCTATCTATCTATCTATCTATGCCACAGCTAAATGACCCTAAACCATCCGAGATTCGCCCAGCTCGGAGGATTTGGGTACCGAAACCAATGGGATCTCAAGAGTTTGTCTCAACATTTGAGACTCCCCCAATGCTTTGGATGGGGAGGATGGAAAACCGTAGGATTTAGGGGTGCCCCATGTTTGGAGGAACGCAACTAGATGTCGTCGATGTTTTTTGGATATATGAGGCTGGGTCAGGGGTCTTGTTTTGTTTGCTGAGGAAATATGCAGATGGCAAGATGGAGTGGACAGAGATTGAAGACTTGAAAAAACTGGTGGATCCTCGGTTGCGATTAGGACTTGATACTTGCATGATCACCCATGGAGTTTCAAGTGGTCAGGAGAGTTTCGGGTCGATTTGCCATGAAATTCCATAAGCCAATGCGGACAAACCATGCTTTCCAGTCAATTTTCTAAGACGTTTGCATCAAACCTCTTATCAAACATTGCGAAATATCGTGGTTTCCAGTGGGTTTTCTCATCCAAAAACGGCACCTGACCCTGTGATGTCCGAACAAACCCAGGTGCCAAACAGCCCTTGTGGGGAAGAGCTTCGAAAGCAGCTGGGTGCACAGCTGCTGGCGGCCGCGGATGATGGTTCTTTAGAGGCCATGCTGAGAAACAAGGCCAGGAAGGCTTTGTAAGCCTTCTCATCCCCAACCTTGGTAGTCTAAGTATGTTTAATCAGTTTAATCATGTTTAATCCTTTGGTTTGTTGCTATAAATGGAAAATCACCACTTAACCATGAAAAGATTAAGGTATTTTTTGTGGACTACCAAAGATTGACCATGTGTATATATATATTATATACATATGACCATGTTATGACCAACAGTTTGCGAACTGGAAAATCACAATTTTAAGTATATGTTGAACAGCTAATCATCGAGCTAGATGGGCCAGTTTCCATAGCCACATCAATCACGAGAGGGTATTGGAATTGGTTAGATTTTTACGAGTTAATGCTTGTTATCTAATGATTGTTAATGGCTTGCGATTTAGATGCGTGAATGGATGGGTTGCCACTCCCCTAACATTACGCCAGTTCAACACCTGCGAGTGAATTATGTGTATATATATATATATAACTCATTTGTACGTTCCGGGATTCCGGTGGCTTTGTTTGGTGGGAGTGGGACCAGGGGCTAGGCCTCCCAGGCTTTGTGGTTGGAGATTCCCCTACGAAATCTCTCAGTAATAAAGGAAAAACATGGAACAACTGGAGAGATCATGAGAGACCTACAAAATCCTACAAACATGTGCACCTGACAGCATATATATAGTGAGTATAATGCATGTAGCTAGGGGCTTCTGACAAGATGATCCTATTGAAGCCAGAGCAGTTGCCCAGTCAGGCTGAAGCCAAGGCGGAAGACTTGCGACTGGAGGCAAGATGGGCATGTACAAATGAATGCAGGTGTAGCTTGTGGATTCATGTGGATTGTAGATATTTATATAATTTTGATTTTTGCATACGACTTGTTTAAACTTTGCTCACGCTCTTCAACATTTCCATGTGAAGGTTCAGATGCAACTAAGTCTTATATGATCTTATATGTTGTACGCATTTACTGCAGGTAGCTGTGAAATGCTTGGCGCAATTGGATGCAATTGGCATTTCCCAGCAGATCCCAGTCTTCAGTGATGCTGTCAGGTATCATCCCCCCGCAGAACACAATGGTTTACCGTGGTCCATCCCAACCTGTCCAAATTTGTGGATGCATCCCAGGTATTCATGGGATATGTATGGACTGTATGGATAGTTACAATCGTATGGATATGATATACGGATATGACCACTCTTTCAAATCCGCCAGCCGCTGCTAGATTGGACAACAGCTGCTGAATGCTGTTGAAGATGGGAGTCTTGAGAAGATCCTTCAAGAGAAGGCTGAGCCTGTGCTACGGGCTGATATAGGATGGCTGCTTGGGGGTTGCTGGAATCGTAAGGGGGTATATATATATATATGAAGTCTCCTAATTGCATAAATGCGCGTATCTCATGTGTATGTATATATATATATAAATATCCTATTTCCATAGTATAGTTATAGGGATTCTGGGACGGTGACCAGCAACCAATGAAATACATACTCTCTCACTCTCTCTCTCTCTCTATATACATATATATACATATATACATATATGTATATATATATATGTTCCAGGTTCGGGGACCCCCCCTCCCCCCCACGGTCATGGTTCCCCCCCTTCCCCTGTGGATGTGGTCCTGTAGGTAGTATAGGTACTCATGGTCCCCCCCCTCTCCCCTGTGAATGGGAGTTGGGTGTATATAGTCTCCCCCCCCAGTTGGGTGTATAGAGTCTCCCCCTCCACCCTGTGGATGTGGGAGGTGGGTGGGTCCTGTAGCTAGTATAGGTAGTAAAGAGGTAATAATATAACTATACTCTTTAGTTCCTATATAAGTAGGTGATATCAGCTTTGAATATTATTCAATGCAATGCTGTCATTTTCTATGCCAAATTATGGTCGCCGTTTCATACCAAGGTTTTTGCTGTACATACCATGGAAATATGAGGTTCTCCATCCAAACTGGTGCAAATACCATGGAAATATGAGGTTTTGCATCCAAAATGTCAGGGAGTAGGGGACCATACCATTGGGGGGGGGCTACGGGACCGGGGACCGGGATCATATATATATATATATATGTAATTATATACACGTATACACATATCGATATGCGGAATATCCTTGAATATCCCCGATTATCTACACACACACATACACACACACACACGGATATACGTATATATATATATATATGTGTATATATGTATATATATAATATATGCTTTGCACCAGTGCTTAGCAATTTGATTTACAAATTGGAATGCGGAACCAAGTAATCAGAGGTGGCAGAATAACTGGTCATTCCACCATGCATCCAAGTTGATGGTGTACATAACCAGCCAATTGCCAGCCCATATCCCCCTTGACTTAACATAAGTATGGAAAAAAACATGAACAAACACCATTTTTATCCATTTTTATACATGTTTCATAGGTCAGACATCCATCAACGGGCCATTCTCCACAGCGCTAGGCCACTTCTCTGGCCGAGCAGGTCAGGCTGCGGGTGGGGCAGCAACTGGTGGCTGCCGCAAGGGATGGGCGTCTGGAGGCAGCGCTCTTGCGACAGCAGGCAGGGTCAGACATCCACCAGCTGGCCCACCAGCTGGCTGATAGGTGGTTTATCCATTGTTTATCCCATTATTGATAGGGCTGATAGGGTTTCAACATGTTTCAGCCATGTCTATTCACAGAAAAAGGGAACAATAAAAAATGTTCCCAAGAAAATGGGGGTTTGAGTGGGAAAGTCATCGAACTCAATGGTGGATTTTCCAGACCATGCACCGGACCAAGATGGGGCGTTGGAAGGTGAGTTTCTTGTTGGAAATGAGTGTTTTGGAGTGCCATGTTCAAACTGCAAATCATAGGTATTTGCTGGCTAAAATCCAGTTCCTGTAGTTTATGTCCCCATGTGTATTGATTATATCTCCATCAAATCCCCTCATTCATGTTTTTTGCTGCCTGTTTTCAGCTGGAACATTCTAAGAATGGAGCACATGGAGGCTTGCTGCAAACGTTCCATTCAACATTTTCCATCAACCCAGTGAAATTCCAGAACTCATACTTTTAGTGGTGGTTTATGGTGGTTTCCTTATTTTTGAAGCTAATTTTCAACATTGAAGCGCGAAAACCTGGTGAGGAACCACGGTTTCTTTCGATTTTTCCGTTTTTTTTCACAGCCAAATCCCAGCTGTTCCAGGCTCCCAAGATCGACCACCTGGAGAGCGTTCGGCAGCAGACCGCTGCGCGGCTCCTGGCAGCCGCAGAGGCAGCGCTTTTCACGTCTTGGGAGAAAGGGTAAGGGCCCTAAGAAACCCGAAATCGCATCAACTTCCCAAGAAATGAAAGACATGTGCATGTGGTCTGGGGAGTTCCGGCCATTTCCCGGGCCATTCCGCCCACTTCAATTCTGCTTAAAGAATAGATGGCTTGCAGATTTCTGACTTGACTGTTGCATTTAGCTGTGAAGTAACCGAGGGCTTGATAGACAGTGGAGAGCTGGGGCTGGCATTCATTTGGTTTCCAAAGATTTGCAACTCTGTGTTTGTTTTCTTGGCTGACAGTCGAGTCGATATAGGTTCCCAGGATGAAATCCAAGATCCGTTTTGCTTGATAGACTTAATAAACTGATAAAAGGGACCTCACAAAAACAGGCCAAGACCATGCAACACCAGGTTCTGTCAAAATCATGTGAAATTTGGTTTCCGCCCGTTTGATCCAAGTTCCTCCAAATCGTCCATTCTGAGCTAGTTTTCAGGAAAAATAGTGTTACTTTGGAATGCCCAGACATGTGTACACACATGTTTGACTGTATTTGCGTGTTTGTATATGTATAATATATATATACTAGTATATATATAAACAGATTTATGGCACATCAATCTAGGTATATATCATCCAGGTAAACATCATTTGTTGGCAGGGCAACAAAAGTAATCTTGGCCATGAACATGTTGGTGATCATGCGAATCCTCGTTTGTACTCCCGGTTTTAACCAGTAGAAACAGGAGGTGATCCGTCAAAAAACGTTTCAGTACCCAAAATGCATGTTTCGCACCAAGATCCAAGTGATTTTGGAGAATGTTGCTGAGTAAACCTGGGCTACGAAGGTGATTTTCAGCCAAAGGTTCGCTGTTTGGAGGGTACCGCCATGATCCCAATGGTGACATGGCGTTCCCCATCCCCGGCCGCGCAGGACGGTCGCTTGGACCGTGCCCTGGGCCACAGCGACTTGGAGGCGGCGCGGCAGCGCTTGGCAGCCAACTTCCTGGCATCGGCAGAGGAGGGGTCATGGATGGATGGATCGTTGGTGGATCATGTCAACCCTTGAATAATAACCCCGTAGGCATATCTAGGCATATAATATAAACAATTGCGTCCTGATTAGTGTGAGGCCCCCCTCAACAATAGCTATACCCTCTTCAAACTTGGGCGCCAAAAATTGTCTTCCCAGGAAAAACGAATATCCGCACTTAAGTAAGGATTTCAATTGGCTACAATTGAAATCTAATTATATAACTCTTTTTTTTGCCGATGAACTTGTGGTGTTTGTAGTACTTGTAGTACTTGTAGTACCTGTAGTAGTTGTAGTACTTGTAGTACCTTGTAGTGAGTTGGATTTAACATGTTGACTGCGTTACCTTTTCCACCTTAAGTTTTTATTCAGAGTGTAATTTCTAAGAGAAAGATAAAGACTTAAAGAGAAAGGACAAGAGAGAAAGAGAAAGAGAAAGAGAAAGAGAGAGAGAGAGAGAGGAAGAGGAAGAGGAAGAGGAAGAAGAAGAAGAAGAAGAAGAGGAGAAATAGGACGAGGACGAGGAAGAGGAAGAGGAAGAGGAACAGAGAGAGAGAGGAAGAGGCACAGAGAGAGAGAGGAAGAGGAAGATGAATAGGAAGAGGAAGAGGAAGATGAACAGAGACAGAGAGAGGAAGAGGAAAAGGCAGGGGAAGAGGCAGAGGAAGATGAACTCAGGATCAGCTCTGGAAAAGTTTGCTGCAACTGTGAAACCTGAGAACAAACCTACTAAAGTGAACTGGACCCTCTCATGGCCCAGTGCCTTGGAAATTTGTGGAAAAACTGTTCTTTAATAAGGGTTTAATCAGCGGTCTGATTCTTTTGGGAAAGGCTTGGACTTTGAACTTCTCAATTGCTTTTGTAAAAGGCTTTTCTTTCTTCTCTTGGCTCCAGGATCAGCTCTGGAAAAGTTTGCTGCAACTGTGAAACCTGAGAACAAACCTACTAAAGTGAACTGGACCCTCTCATGGCCCAGTGCCTTGGAAATTTGTGGAAAAACTGTTCTTAAATAAGGTTTTAATAAGCTGTCTGATTCTTTTGGGACAGGGAGACAAGCAATATTTTTTTCAGGAAAAATGTTCAGATTTTTTTTTTACACCTGTTTTTTTGGACAAAACATGGTCTCTCAAGAATTTTGCCACAGTGAAGCTTCCAAACAATAAATGGGCTCAGAATAATTTGGAGAATTTTTGGCACAATAGCGAACCTATCCACTAATCAGCATCCAACATTATATATATAATAATAATAATAGCAATAATAATAATAGCAATAATAATAATGATAATAATGATAATAGTAATAATAACAGTAGACAAAATGATAATGATGAAGTATATCATATACCCATATGTATCCCCCAATTCATTGTTGTGATTTGATGAACAAATCCGTTCCAAGGCAGGGTCCTGTGAGGACGGTCGCCTGCAACGTTTGCTGAGCGCTGGGAACGACCTGGACGCGCTGCGGCAGCGCGTCTCCCAGCAGCTCTTGGCCGCCGCGGAGGACGGGCGTCTGGAGAAGGCCATGCAGAAACGCAGCGAGGTGCGGATGGGCCCGGATGGGCCCAGGGTGCTGGGGAAATGGCCATGGAAAATGGATTGAACATGGCCATGGAAAGGGTTCCATAAATGTTTCATAGGGATATTCATGGAATAATGGGATAATGGGATAACTTAGGGATGATTGTGGAGTTACCCTTTGGTAATTAATCAAAACATGGCAATGAAGAATCCTCCATTTATAGTGGGTTTTCCCATTAAAATCTCCATTTTAAGAGGATTTGCCACGTTTCATTGCCAAAGGATAAGTACAGTTATATATCCCACATACACACACCCTAGCCCTAGTCAACCAAGTCCTAAACCACCTTAGCTTTATCTAGGGGGAAACGTAAGAACAGGTTGAAAACATGGTGGTAACATAGTGGGAAGAAGTGAGAAAATTGAAGTTGGGTTGTGAATCAACGGACATGTGTGTTGATTTTGATTCTCAGCCATTTTGATGAAGGAATGATTCCACTGATTGTTTCTCCCAGTAGCCATCCATGCCTGGGGTAGAAGCGTGGTCCATAAATTCCTTTGCAAGAAGATTGCCTAGGCAGCTCTGCATTTGAAGGATCCTATGACCCATTTACCTACCTCTGTTGACCCCTGAATTTGTTCGCTCTTTTCTCACCTGCAACTAATAGTTTTTACCCTGATTGGGGGGCATTAGAAAAAGGCCAGTACAGTATACATCCCAGGCCCATCCCAGGCCAGAAGTGCGGTCAAATTCAATTCCTATCGCCGATCATCATTCATAATGCTAATTTAATTAAGGGGCTCCTCTCACATTTTAAGAACAAATGCAGCGGGAGCGTTATATAAGAATGTTGGTTGCCGATGGCCAGGGTCCCTCAATTTCTTAACGGAAAGGGCCCATGTATTTCAGTATGTATGTGCAATTAATCGGCCAAGATTCCCAACTTGCTCCAAATTCCAAATCTAGATTAAAGTCAATCAGAGCGCACAACACAAGAGCAGATAGATTTTCATAAAGTCTCCGCAACCTTAGGCGTGCATCCCAAACTTCTTAGGCTTGAAGATTCCAGGTCCCTCAATTTCTTAATTTCGATTTCCATATACATTCCACATCATTCCACAACACATATACGCGGGAAACAAATCCAGCCCCTGATTTTCTTAAACAAGGAATTCTTATACAGTGCTGGGACTGTAAGTGTTTGTCAATTTTATAAGTTATTATCCTGACCATCGGGTCGTGTAAACATCAACAGTTATCATCAGTTATCCAGATGACCATTGCTACCCCTTTTTTACATGATGATATAATATGATATGATATATATTAACATATATATAATATCATATAATATAAATAATATGGTATATGATTATGTAGCCAAAAAAATGCCTAACATCCAGATCCAGATCATCCGCACGGCGTCGCCAGGCTGTGCAAGACTTGGTGCGTGGTAAGGCGGCCATCTCCCTACTGAAAGCTGCCGAGGACGGTCAGCTGGAGGAGTTGTTGATCAAGGGCAGTCTGGCCACTCGGATGAGACCCCCACCCGGCATCAGAAAATAAGGGTAGAATGGCGCAACCCGCCATTCTCCAACTTATGATACTTATATATAATATTACCGTATCATCTTATTAATTATGATAGACTATATACATAATTATATATATATAAGTATTAAGTATGTATATATATATAGGTTTTGAAGATGAAGCGTGTTTTTCTCTAGGATTGGCGATCCCAGTTGATTGATGAACGGATTAGCAGTTTTGCTGAAGCACATGGGGATGTATAATTATCTTTGTTATCTCACATTATACACACAAACGGATTTATATAAATATATATCGCAAGAAAAGGGAGTTCCGCCGAAAGGCAGGTAGACATGACCAACAAAAGTTGGGGTATCAACCAAAACCAAAGATTGGATGCTATACAACAAAGCCAAACGAAACTCACAATCGGGCGATGCAGCCAGCAGAATCAGAAAGAATGCTGGCGACGGAATGGGGTAGGTCGCCTGTAAATTTGTGTTGCTAGCCATGGGTATTGATGCAGCCGCTCCGAACCGGGGGATGATGTAATTACGCTGTGTAAGCGTCTAGGATGTAAATAGTGAACTATTTTGCCTTCAGATGCCCAGCGATTTGTCGCGATTGCTTTGCAGCTGGCAAACATGAGTACCTACAGCCCGACCTAGCTGTATGTTCAAGGAATATAAGCTGCAAATGATGATGCCCCTGCCCTGGGATCTACTGGGAGGTCCCACATTGGGAACTGTCCATCCCCTAATCTTAAGAATTTTCTCACAACTCTTGCCAGGTCCCCCAAGGTGTGACTTCTCACCAAGGATGACATCAGGAGCAGAATCGCGATAAGCGCCTGGGCAGGAAATGCGCCATCCTTCAGCAAAGCATCCCTGAGATGATCCAGTATAGCCTTGAATAACTGTGAGATTTCTGACCCGGCTGACCTAACCACCAACCAATACCAACCAGCCTCCAACGGCACTGGCGCGGTGCCAGGCATGTTCGAAGCCGCTGAGACAGATCGTTTGGAAGAAGCTTTGAGGGGCGATAAGCCTCAGGAGACCGAAAGCTTGGAAGGTTGAGCTGAGGCTGCGGCGGTCAGTTTTGAAACCCTGGGGCCACTGTTTTCTTCTGGATATTCTTGGATTATTCGTTTCACCACGTATCATTAGTATCATTACTCAATGTGCATGACACGCTGATATCATGTTTCGTGGTTTCGCAAGTTCCATGATCCATAGTGGCCATTCTGATGAGATGAATCAGTGCAGTCCCAGTTGTTCCAACTGGTTCATGCAATATGATCGGTAAATATCGGTAATTTGTGTATTATATATATATATATATTTGTATTTATCTGGGTAAATTATAACGACCTCACTGCGACCTCACTGGAATCATGGTTGGTACTGTGATGCTGAACTCCCGGAGAGGGCGATGGAGAGAGAGACTGTAAGGGGAATCATCCCCAAATGGCCTTAATTCAGGTTAACGTGAGATATTATAATTTACCCAGATTTATTGACAATCATTGTAACTAGGTGATAGGTGGCCAAGAGATGGCTTTTGAAAGTGAAAACATACTCAATGGTTTTGCACCTTCGAACTATTTCATGCTATTTGGATTGCACATGAGCTTAAACTCAACTTGAGATCATGATGAAAAGAAGCCCTGTGATGATCTGTGAAGCCCACCCACGTTGCAGTGCCCCGACGACTTCACCCCTCAGGTACAAAGGTGCCCCCAGATCCCGGGTTATTCATGCCTTGGTAGATTGGTAGATCAGTCACATACACGTACATCATTTATACATATTTATACATGTATTGTCTCTATGTATGTAATATATATAACTACACATATATATATGCCTACATATCCATCTATCCATCGATCTATCCATTTGTCCATCCATCCATCTATGTTGCTACGTGTGAATTTCCCAAATTTCCCCGTTCCCAGCTCTTTAACCCTTGGCGATGCGATGCATCAGGAGCTTCGGGTGGCAGCCACGACGCTAGTGCCATGGTCCGATGTGGTGCCGGATGAGATCCAAAACACGGAACTCATTGCGCAGGTCTAGTCGGTGGCTGGTGGAGTTGATCTACCCCCATCAAAATTGGAGGTTTGAATCGGTTTGAATGGGGACATCATGGAAAATCAGTATTATTTGTGGGTCTAAGAGGATCTGTTAGTAAAGCAATCTAAAGGGATCTGTTAGTAAAGCAATAGGATCCATCATCACCAATTTAACCTGGGTTGCTTAAACTATCCAAATATGGGTGGTTTATGATTGCTTTATACTTTATACCAACATTACAGTAAACCCCAAGTATTTTTATAGTAACCTCCAAAATTATAGAAAGTTGTGAATTTTCACTATTTTGATGGAAATGTACTTTTCGATCTGTTTGGGAATTACTATATATAGGGAAATGGAAGAATGGTTTTCATGGATTTTGATGGATTTATTTTCTATACAAAATGGTTGATGTGGGGCATATGGAATGCATACGGAATAATGGGTGTTCAATGGATTTTGATGGATTTAACGTGTGTAATTATGGGGCTAATGGATTTCTGGGGTAGGCTTGCTTGTGATGTAAACTGTGGACAGCTGTAGGCGGGGTCATTGCTATGCAAATGGAACCAGCAATCGTGTCTGCAACGAGAATTCCCGATCCATCACTTTACTAATCATCAGAGGGTTTGGATTCTACATGTTTTTTCACAGCTGGGGGTCCCCAACAAAAGCATATTATGTAGCCTAGCACGGGGCATTCTTTGTTTGCGTCCCCGCAACCCGCGTCCAGAGTCATTGTAATGTTTGTTGCGTAGCAAATGCTGTCCAGCAGTGCGTCAGGCAGTGCATCAGGGAGTCCACAAGGGGAACAAACAAATATCATTCATATTCATATTCATATGCATCTATTTACAGATCCTTTTCCAATCAATTTGATGTGGATTTCCTCGGCCAGCCTACGTTTGATGTAGAAAGAGAGGTCATGTACCCCCATTTTGTTTTTCAATCCACCATCTGGCAGATGAGACCCCCAGCAACTGCCAGGCACATCTCGCAGCCCAGGGGCAGCTGAATATCGGAGCCCCGGCGGCGCAAAGCACGCTGCTGCGCTACGAACGCAGGCAGCGAACAGTCAAGGGCACCCCCCTGAAGAACATCCCAAAAGAATGCAAAACATATGTAGAACTCAAAAGGGGCGTTTTTTTTTTGGGTGTGTGTGGTGGCATATATGCGCATGTATTTAATTTAATACATATTATATATATATAATCTATAATATATATATAGGTATATGTGTGTCTATGGCTCAGTTAGACATAGCTTTTGGAGTGATTTTGTTGGGATTCAAGGTCTGAGAAACGTTTTGGGGTGTATAATAAAGCCGATGGCAGATTGTTGACCAGCTTGGAAACCACCAAGACCTGTTTGCGTGTGTGGCCCGTAGTGACAAAATAAAGAAGCGCACTGAACTGGACCAGAACCTGCTGTATTTGGCGCATTCCACCGAAGAAAATTGGGTAATCCCGCAGTCCACACTGCCAGTCACCGGGATCATCACAAACCAACTGCACTGTCCAGCTGGCAGTACGGGTTGGGGAATTAACCAACAAAAGATAAGGATATACAGACAATGATGTACATACGTGAATATTGCCAGCGAATTCCATCGATACATGCGATACGTTCCGGTTATACTCGTGGGTGGATATACAACTAAAACCAATCATATAGTTACAAGTAGGGGCCAATCTCCCACCAAACATGGGAGTTCGCTTATAATACCATAGTTCTACAAGAATTTGTCCCCCCCCCTGACTGCGCCCGAAAAAGGTAAGGTCCCGTGCCATTAGCCCCTCATTGAGTTCGATGATTTTCCCATGCAATTCCATCAAAATCCAATAGACGTCCCTAAAAAACTCATTAGAACTGCTTTGAAAACCATTGGACATCCATTACACATCATTAGAAATCCATAAGCATCCATAAAACATCCATTAAACATTCATGAAACATCCCATAAAAATCATCAAAATCCCATGGTGTTTCCCCAGTTTCGGCGCCAGGATTGGCACCTTAGTGGCTCAGATCCATCAGGCGGAGAAGGAGAGCCTCACGAAGAGCGCAGAGGCGGCCAGCCTCGAAGTAGCCCTACAGGACCGAATCATGGGACGATGGGAGCGATTTTCGGAACTTTTGTAGGGTTAGATATTGTTAGATATATTCTGGTTGGTGGTTTGGAACATTTTTTATTTTCCATGACATATGGGATAATCCTTCCCATTGACTAATATTTTTCAGATGGGTTGAAACCACCAACCAGTATTGTTAGATATTGTTAGATAATTATCCTGATAATTCTTGGTGTACCCTCTGGTAATTTGTTGCATAGCTATTGAAAATGGCCATAGAAATAGTGAAATAGTTGATTTACCTATTAAAAATGATGATTTTACATAGTTATGTTAGTTTACCAGAGGGTAGATATTGTTAGATATTGTTAGATCTTGTTCGCATTTATTTTTTTGGGGGGGTGTTCATCATTTCTTGGAAGCTTTGTTTTGGACTGTCTTTAGGGAAGTACCAGTACCCCCCACCAAAAAAAACGACCTAACGAAACAGATCTAAGAATCTAAATTCATCCCAAAGGTGGGTGAAGAAATATGAACAATGCGTATTTCAGGTCTGTGCAATGCGAATGGGCAGTTGGCAGGGGAAACATCATGACCGAGCCCTGCAACGTCACTGGAATGATGGGAATTGGATTGGGGTAGCTATCCCCAAATGGCTGAACTATTTAGGTTGGCGAATTATTTTATTTTATATAGTGTTTCTATTTTTTATCCAGTAGGTATCCCTCTAGATATCGCCATCGATTGTTAATCCAAGTATGTTCCCATTACAATTCCAGTTTGGTATCCATTACATATTTGTCCATTATGATATCCCAGTATGTTCCCATTACATCCCATTACAATATCCATTGCACATTAATACCCATTATAATGATATCCATAAACGATAATACACCCCCAAGTCATCACCATTTTTATGGGTTCTAGTCATGGTAGCTTTATGGCAATGGGTTTCCCACATTACTACCAACATTCACAAACTCCTTGTTCCCATGATATATGATAATATAATATCCATATTATATCATATGTTTTATCATATTTTTATCATATATTTTGTCATATTTTGTCATATTATATCATATTATAGCTATTAATACCCACTATTATACCCCTGCTGCACATATCTCCACCCTGGTCCATCCAGGAGGCAGAAATGGAGCTGCGACGCGTGAACCAGGCCGTGGCGGCCATGGGATGCAGCATCCCTAATAGCTGGATGGTTTAGACTGGAAAATCCTATACAAAAATGGATGATTTTCATGGATTTTTCAATGGATCTAAATAGATTTAAATGGATGATAAAATGGGAGGTACCCCATTTTAGGAAACTTCCATACACACGCACACGTATATGTAGAATATATATACATGTATGAACATCTACGTATATGTTCATTGGCGGTGGGGTCAGTGATTAAGTAGTAAGGCCAGTGAACATTACTTCTTGTATCATTGCTATGGTAGTTTTTTTTTGTGGTTTTCGATATGTTTGCAACAAAAAGTGACAGCCAGATTTATGAAGGATAACCATACGACCAACACTTTCTTCAACCATGTTATTCAATATGGTGCAAATAATGGGGGTTGAGACAAACAAATTGCTGCATGAAACATGGAGGAATTAACACCAGCAAATTTGAATAATCTTGAATGCATACACACACACATATATATATACATACACAACTCATTCTATATGTAGAATTGCATATATATATATAACCAGCAATATCACACACACAATGCCTGGGATCAAACATCATGTAGCACATCGGATAGAACTGTGTTGGACCCAAAGTTTGCGCTGACAAATCCAATCGGGCCAAGCGCAAGGATTCTTGAAAAACAAACGCACCAGTCCATTGACGTACTGGTACTTACTGGGTATTTGGCAACATATGGCAACATATTTGGTCCATCAAGCTGATGTTGCCATGAGCGCACAAAATCCCAGGCGCGACAAATGATCATGTTTGATATGTTAGGGGCTCTGTATGGTGAAAACCCATGGCATGTGAAATGTGCTACATGTATGGAAGATTTACTCATATTCACCCTCAAAAATTGGCTCAAAATGAGGTAAAAGAAGAGCCACAGATATCACCTGTGTGCCCAAGGACTTCGAAAGCCAGAAATTGCTGATCGGGAACGAGGACGCTGAAGACTAGGCTCATTTTTTGTTGACCCACAAGGCACTGCGAAACCCTAGGTGCTGGATGGGTCAACAGTGGGTAAGGCTAGCCATGGAAAAAGAGGTCACTTTGTTTGCAGCAGAAATGCCAATCCGGGGTTACAAAACAATGATTGACTAATTGTAGGACAAGTATATAATGGTCATCGCTGTCAAAATGGTAGCCACCAATGCAACTGCTCAGGGTTTACGCTGCGGTATATCAACATGGACACGATGGACACGAGAAAATTGACAATTTGCAGATCATAATCATTTGGACGCCCAGGGGTTTTCCACGTTGAGTTTGATGTAGTGAACATGTTTATTTGGCCTTAGATTGGCATTGGTTCATGGGGGTTAGATACCTTATATCGTCACTTGTCAATATCATTAGTGCTTCAGATCCTATTTTCTGATGGTGTTTGTACCCCTGCCACCACCCAACACGCAAAGGCTCATGCAAGGGAATCTTACAGTATACATATGAAGTATATGTCGTTGTAATGTCGTTGTATGTGCCATGGTCAATTCATGGTATAACATATGGGTTATTGTCATCCCACCATCAGGGCTTATAATTTGTTTCTTGACCCCATGAATCATGAGAGATGACCATCCTCAGGGCTAAAAAACAAGGTCTTGATCGTGGCACATGTTTTTTTCGGCACATTACCCTCTGGTAATCAAACATGGCAATGATCATTCCATTTCAAGACATGTTTTTCTCCACGTTTTTCCTATTTGAAGGACCCGAAGCGACCAGTGAAGCTGTGCAAAAATTGGGCAGGAATTGCGCACCTTGCAGCTGCAAGATCGACAACGGCAGCTGATGGATCAGCTTGAAGCTTGGCTGTAACAATGCTGTAACTATATTTGGGTCCATGGTGGTCCATGGAACTGGGAACATCTTAGAGATATGGTTTTTGTAAATGTGGCAAAGTGGGCTTTGCCAAGAAGGAAGCCTGAATTCGGGAGGGTGGTTCACCACTTTCTAGACTCGGGGTGGTTTATCATTGGGTTTACCACATTCCGTAACATGAAGAGAAACTAGATGGACCCAGGTTTTGGTCCACCTAAATTGGATGTGTTGTTGTATGTGTTTGTTTTCTTTAGTTCGAATAAACACCCAATGGTTTAAAAACATTGCTCAGCAGAACTTGGTTGCTAGGTTACTTGTGGTTACTCAGTCTTCTTCTACGTAGGTATGGTTCATATGACTCAATACATGTGTTTTTGAGATGGTATTTAAAATCAGCCGGCTAGACAGAACTTGGCCGTTTCAGCCATCTATTCAGCATGCCTCTGTCCACCTTCTTTTTTGTGGGGAAGGAAGACGAGTCCATTCGATGACCATCTTAGGCTGAAGCTACCCTGCAAAAATCATCCTTTATCACATTGGGTTGCATCCTGCTCTTGAACTCAAAGTGGTAAGTTCTGCTCAAAACGGGGTGCACCTGGAAATATGCTGGTTAGGCAGAAGATTTGTGGCATGGCTTAGTCTTGACAAACCTAGATTGTACTTGGACAATCGCTCAACCAACAAACGAAAGACAAGTCGTATAGGCCAGTCACCTCATTGGGAGGATTCATTTGGAATTGTGCTATCTCACCACGGGCCTGTCATAGGGTTTTGCGGTTTTTGATAAGCCCCCAGGGTGATCTAGGGTGATGGTGGTGAATGACCCAGCTTGCCTTATTTGATAAGGGCTTATTGGCCCTCATCACCCCCATGAAAGGGGCTCCCCAGTTATGAGGTGGTTGAATGTTAGTTTGCAAACCCATCTGCCTATAGGATTTATATGGATTTATCCACCGTCGTCCACCATCATTCGTTGTTAGCCTAGTTGTGCCTAGTTATTCACCAACTTACCTAATGCAGTTCAATTACAGTATCCAGATTTTCATTGGTTTACTCATGTTATCTGATGTTAAATCCTACTTGTTCTATAGTTTTTGATGGTTCCTTCCTCAATTGGAGGGTCCCACCACGGCCCTGCCCTCAGGATCAAGAGACCCTGAAAGCCAAGCACGCACGCATCGAGTGGCGCGGGAATCCCGCTCGTGAACTCGCTTAGGGATGGCGCTGGTCGTGCGCAGAGCACCTCATTTGGATGACGAGATTTGCCACACTCCACTGGGCTCCATTGGCCAACGAAGAAAATCAATGAAAATCAGGTATCCCGATGAATTAAAGGGCAAACTCAGGCAACGTCCTTCAGATTTTGAAGAGATGAACAAGATTGAAGAAGCCATGCCCCACCAGCTATTGGTCCTATGATCAACGGACGACCAGTGCCATAGATTTCACCCACTGGCGCTTTGGCTCGGCCTCTGGGTCCAGGGTCCAATTGTGCTCTGATTGTTGTTGGCCATTTGAATCCTTACCAACGGTATTTCTCCCACATGACATCGGAAAGACTCATATATATCTATATATATATATTCTTACAATTTCTTACATTACTCTATGGTTTGAACATGAAAGATGTTGACACCACCAATTTCCTCCAAGTCACCCCAAAAAAAGGGCACCGTATCATCCGCATCCTACCGCGACATTGCTGTGGGATAGCTTACACGAGGCCATTTCCCAAAGCGCCAGCGACAGAAGTCCGGCCCAGATAGAAGGCGTACGTCTAAGATGGGCGTGCGCTGCTGGCGCCTAAGAATCGAATTTCTGGTGGTGACGCTGGTGGCCCTGTCGCGCCTGAAATGAATCCTGGTGAATGAGTTGATATTCTCAACGTTTGAATACGTTTGATGTTATTTGGCTACAAATATCGACAAATCCTGGATGTTTGTTTTGGTGAATGGTTGGCCAGTTGCATCTAGTTGGATTTAGTTGGCCTTTTTCGTTTTTTTATCTGCCATAGATGCCACAGATTCAGTTGTTTCTATTTCACATCCCACTTCAAATGGATATCAATGGTTTTGATTTATGACTTTTATAGAGATAGCCAGCTGCCACCAGCTCGAATCTGGTGCCCCTTGAAAGGGGGGGAACCCTGGGAGGAAACAGTTGGAAAACAGCGCCGGAGTTGGTTTGCTGAGGGTTCCTGGAATCTTGCAATCCCTTTCCCATCAATGCTGTAGGCTAGATTAAAACCCTTGTTCTATTATTGGGATTGGATCCATTCATTGTTGAGGTCGATATTGGGGGGAGCACGAATGATTCGCTGTAGAGGAAGGAATGCATGGGTTGCACTGGCGTTTGCAGTGCAGCGACCACGTACCGATTGAATTGGTTGAAATTTGGATTGGCAGATATTGCAATGCCATCGAGCTTTAGGGCTTCCAGGGTTTAGAAGAATCGCACCTCGGAAAAAAGGTGTTGGCTCTGGATTCTTAGCTCGTACGCTCTAGCACTAGCACGACCGCTAGTACTTGCCATTCAAGTTTAACTTTGTGTAGGGGCAAGCACCACAATACTAGGTTCTGGAGGTGCTGTTTTCTCACCATAAACAAATTCCTAGATGACCAACACGAAATTATTGCCTGTTGAAAGGTTTCTTGAACCGGCAAAAAATAGCTAAGTTCAGTCTCAGAAGGTGGTTTGACCCATGACTGCTAGAATGATGTGCAGCAGCCAGATAGATTCATAAGCTTACAGTATCTTAGAGTTATAGTTGCAACTACTACTTGCTGTATACTGTATAAATATACAATAATATACATATATAAATATTCACACACTGGATATATAGAACATTATACAATAACTCTTTAAGAGTTGTTCTCATCGATGGACAGCACCATGGAGTTGATCGAGGTTACAACCTGCACTCGTGGACATTCGTTAAAATCTTGCCAAAAATAGTGGGGAGCCATGGCAGAAAACAAGTGGAAAGTCTCGGGTGCAGCCATGTATTTCTCTCAGCAGAGGTAGTTCCATCCGGCCTGGGGGGCGAACCGTTGGGTCGTCATCTCAGGCGGATGTCGTGAAGGGGAAAGAACCGCAGGGTTGCTCCAACCAATTGCAGATCAACGACTGCCACGAGAAGGGGAAAGCTGTGATTTAACGTTTTACCCGTCTAACTTGCCAAATAAATAAATAAATAAATAAATATATGTATATATATGTATATAATATCAAAAGCCGAATAATATGGCCTGCTCTTCAACTTTCCATCAGCATTGGTATGAATAGTTCCGCTTGGCTATTTTGGATGGGTGCCACTGCGGCCGCCATCATACCTCTTGGGAGGCTGTCAATGAAGCTATGGTTCCTTTTTGCTGTCATCTCAATGGCAAGGCTCTCTGACAGAATGCTGGGATGATGGCTGTGGGGCTGTGGGGCTATCAACAAACTGCGGCATTGTTCGCCTCGGAGATTTCGGATGCGTAGTCGCCCGTGGTTCACGGCATGTTCTTCGCGTTTGGGGTTTCAAGACTTTAAAGGTCCTGTTGCAGTCTATCCCGAAATGCTGTGGTGGTTTACAAATATGCTCATATCATGTTGTGCGTGTTCAACCACATTCGGGATTTCTTTTCAGCTTGTATTTCTTGGATATCTTGAAATATTTTGCACCAACCAATGTCCACCAATCGTCCAAAAACTGTTCGAAGCGAACAACTACGGGCTGTATATTCATCTTGAATGGGAAAAATAACATGGGTTTCAACCAACGATTTCTCCCTGTGCAAACAATTCGATTAATATAAATTTACTGTAAATCCCCCCAAGTCTCTCGAGAGGGCGCTGTTAAACAAAACAAAAACAAAGTTGATGATGTTGATGGGAAGAAATATATACGTGTTATATATATATATATATATTGATATGATGATGGTTAATTATTTGAAATGTCATTTTACAATTTCCCCTAGATCACCAAGAAATCCGTTGACCTCAAATGTTGCTTAGCTTCGCTAAGAGCTGAGGAAACTGCTGGACGTGAGCTCACCCCTCCGAGCCAGTGCAGGCTGGTGAAGCATGATGATTCCAATGGAGTTTACATAGTTTACCCTCCCGGAAATTAATGGCCCATTTATAGATGATAAACAATATGAAACAATATATAAAAATAATGATGAACCTATTCAACTTCTTGATTTCCATAGCTAAGTTAAATTACCAGAGGCTACCCCCCCAGTAAATTATAGACCCTGACTTTAGCGATTTTTTAGTGGAAGCTGATCTTCCAACCACCTACTTGGCAGGGTCTATGTTAATTACGGGGCAATGGTAAGATAGGATTCTTAGACTTCAGAGTGACAGAAGGAAATTTCACAATTTAGAATGTGATTGCCCATCTAAACCTATGAGGAGTGCGCCTTCAAGCTGCAATGCAATCTATGGGACCCCTTCATGGTTGCCAGGGATCATACCAGTGTAGATTCTAGATGGTCAGATTCCTAGATAGGACCAGCTCGGGGATGGAACCAGGCAAAGCTGATCAAATTTTTTGTTATGTTGTGCTAGATTCATCTAGGTTCTAGATAGAACTTGTTGTTGGCTTCACAGTTGTTTTGGTGTTCCCTATCTAGGAATTTGCTGACAGTTTGGGATGTTTGGGCACAGGTTGAAACATGTTGAAACCAATGCAATAATACAGTAGTAACAAAATGTCCACTAGACCTGTCTAAAACCGTTTGGGCCCCTCAACTCGTTGTTTTGGGGGCCGTACATTTTGTACATCGCCATTTTTCCTCTAGGAGCTGCAGATTTGATGCCCTAACATTGTAAGTGAAGCATGTGAACCCATGGCTCTCGGGGTGCTAACGTTGCAGGCATTGACCTCAATGGAATGGAGGCGCAACAGCAAGCGTGGGTGTTTGCGCAATATGAAATGCACCCATAGAAACCCAGGTCTAGTCTTGGATCTATTGATGTTGGCCACATGTGGGGGAAATTTGCTAAGGACAGATGGGATATCAATGGATGCATAGTGGCATAGGCGAACGGAAGAACCACTAAAGAGGTGAACAGATAGATGAAGAAGCAAACAAGCAACAATCATAAAGCACCACATATAGACAGCCAGAAGCATTTGCAATATAATGATGCACACAGACATATAAATAAATAAAAATATATATATATATATATATAATTATATATATACACATACATATTTTGCCATCCTTGTTACGCTTCCTCCACTGAGACGCGCTACGCTCTCCCCGCAGGCGATGGTTCTCCAACTGGGAAGCCAAGCTTCGCCAGAGCCCCTGGGCGAAAACTGTGAGGGGTTCACCTTGGTTTCACCACAAAAACATACAAAAACAATGGTTTGATAGAAAGAACATGGAGGTTGAACCAGGTTAAACCATGTTGAACCAGCGAAACATGCTATTTTATCATTGAAACAACGACGATGGGGATTTAAGATGATTTCAGAGCCGACATGGTGGGCTCAGCAACATAAATAAGGGATCTACCAGCTGATATTCGAAAATGACCATGAGAAAATCAGAATGTTTCATGGGAAATTATGGAACATCAAGAAGATCATCAATGTTTTGCTGCCATGCCTCCCCTCGAGCATCCATGGTGATAGCTAGCCGACACCAATAGCTCTGCTTGCATGGCTTGCTGCATCCAACCGGGAATCCCGCGTGCCTTTTGCCGGGATGTGTAGATACAGTGATATGTGGGTGATGGGTGCAACTTTCGAGACTGCACGGGGTCGGCGATGTTTGATCATTGTCAGTAACAACCCTCCTTGGAGTATCAAAGTTCGACCTGCACCCTCACGTAGATCAATCATATCAATCTATCTAGTCGATCCATATACTCCAAAGACAGAGGAATTCTGAGGGTTTGGTGAATCTAAGGAAAATGAAGCCGCTGTTTGACCAATTCCGCACGCTGCTTCGGGAGGTCATTGTGGGTAAGCAGGGAAGCACCAACAAAGCAGTTGGCTGGTGATGATTCTCGTCTGGTAATTTATATAACAAAACCATGGAACATGTCTAACAAAAGATGGACAATTGCCCATTCATAGGTGACTTACCTCTTCAAAATGGTGATTTTCCATAGCAATGTTGAAGTACTAGAAGGTATTTTTTCATTTTTTTTCTATGTATAGATCATCTAACTATAGATTTTCCATGGCTATGGTGTTTATTTCCCGAGCGATTTTCCATCTCCGGGATCACCTGGACGACGATCCAATGGCCACAGTGAGTTCGCGAGAACGGTAGGATATCTTGCCATATTTTACCCCTATAGAGTATCTAAGTATATATCTATAAAATTCTATAAATTTATAAATTCTATAAATTTATAAATTCTATAAATTCTATAGTTTATATATCTATAAATTAGATAACTTAAGATGAAACCAGCATGCCCAAAAACCCCAGAACTGGCGATCGCGGGGAGGAGATGCTTCCGAGCCTCCAACAAGAACGAGGCCGGGGATTTGGGTGACAATTTTTGGTGAGTTCTTTGATGTTTTCTGTGGGTTTCTTGGAACATAAATGGCACTTGATGGATGAGGTGATAGAGGTTTCAGATGATGAGGAAGCTGTTTCAACTGGGTGCAGCGGATATGATGTCAAAGCCAAAGTCGGAGTGTGTGGTTCGACATCAGGCGTGGACCCTACAAAGTCACCCAAACTAATCATTAGATACCCCAACTATTCCCAACTAACATACGCTGGCTAGATGTGGGCCGCAATCTTAGCTTTTTTCCCCCCTGGTGACTGGTGACCTGGTTTTTCTCCATGGCAGAGATTCCCACCATGGAGGAACTATATATTTATAATATATATATATATATATATATGAGCAACCGTAAAAACCCCGGCAATACTAAATATGTATTCGACGGACATTGGTTTATGGAAATTGATGGAAATTGTTAAAAACACGAGGTAAGCGATGGGACCTTCCCAAATTAGCGATACCCCTTTTCAAGGTTATGTCATCATATTTCTCTAATATCCACATTAGCGATACCCAAATATCACATATTATTCATAGTTCATCACATATATATATATATAAATGCAGCAGTTTCCTGCAAGCGATACCCCCCAAGTTTACCATATATCATTATTGTACAAACGTGTGGTAAGCGATGGGACCTTCCCAAATTTGTGGATGTCCTTTCCGTGAACCTAGGGTTTTCACAATCGCTCATATATATATATATATTCAAGCTGCCTTGCATCTATCAACATTAGCAACTAGTATATCCAGTGTGTCTCTTCATGTCTTTTCCAAATTTGAAGCCCAGAAAAACCAGGCGCTGCCAATAGCTTGTTGGAGGAGGCGGCCAAAGGTGCCAGGGCGGGATGGGAACTGCCAATTTTGGTCCAGGAGTCCAGGAGAAGATGCCACTCTTGCGTTCTTCTTATTTATTTAATGTATTGGTTCTAAATAATATCCATAGCAATGCCCAAAAAGATAGAAAAGTAAATTCCTACTACAAACATGATGAATTTGCTTTGTTTTTTTTTGGGTTGCTATAAATCTTTAGATGTTGGTTTGTATAGATCTTGGTCTTATAGCTCTTGAAGCTCTTGGCCATCCATCAGCCGGTCACTTTATATATTTTTGCGGATGGATTAACTGGTCTGCTGACCCTTTCATGGGGTCATCCCATGATAGTCCAACAATGTCCAACATACAGTGGATGGAATAAATCCTCCACCAGTTGATAGGTGGCTTATTCCATTGTCTATAACATCCATCCAAGGCGCTGCAGGATTTCTTCCATTCACAGTATCAATTGAACAGTCAACAGGTTCAATAAGTGATTCATTTGTACATGGGACAGTTGCCGTCGCCGGGCTGGATTCGGGGAAATTGGGTTCGGATGTGCATTATATTTATACACCCACCATATACATTATGCCATATTTATGTATGCACACTCGTACATTGCGTAAAGTATATTTATATATACACATATAGATACATCCATGGTCCATGTGCATTTATTCAATGATTTTCCTCATGTAAAGTTACATGTGTTGGCGGGTTCAAGATGCGTAGCCTGACCCAGGATTTGAAAGTTGCCACGGGGTCAACGGCTGCTTGGCCCAGCCTCGGAGAGAAAAATTGGAAACCTGAAATGGCCCGTGGGTAAAGCCAGATACACTCAGAAGCCCAGGAACATGGTGCTATATGGAGGTTTCCTACTATAGGGGTACACCCAAATCATCCAGTTTTAAAAGATGTTCCATTAGAAACCCTTCATTTTGGGGTACCCCCAGTTTACGAAACCTCCATATATGCTAAGCCCATTGATAACCCCCAGCATTATTATTGACCAATTTTACTCTTTCAGGATATTTAGGGATATTTGGGGGGTAACAAAATCTCAAAAGTAGGGGGATATCCTTGGAGTCATCACCTGAAAAAAAAAACAAATCCCGAAATGCTTGCCAGTGGTTAGATCAACTTAATATGCAATGGGATACAATTAAATTGGTACGATGAGGGAAACGGAAAGAAACTTGTATCTGTTTCCATAGGTGGCAAAAGATCCAGCTTGTTTTTTATGTTTGGCTTGTTTCCCAGGTGTTACTGTAAATATCTGTAAATGTTTTCTTTCAGTAGCCAACAAGGCGGGGAGTGTCAAATCCTCAAACCAGCTTTGCAGTAAGAGGTAAATGACGTGGGATACACATGTATTTACGTAATCTGGATTATGCAGAACTAGTCGTCAATAAACCGATCATTTTAAACAATTCAAATGCTTCAGGGTTATTTGTTCCACATGTTGTTTTGTCCTGAAAATAGGGTACCGCTAAATCCAATAATTCATCACTATTTCCCTATCAAAATGGCTGTTTTGGGTACACCCCTGCCATTTCGATGGGGGTTCCCATGGCTGAGGTAGCCGGATTCCAACGCTGGTGGCTGAGCACCAAACGTGTCGTTCAGAGGAATTCCGCCTGAAAATGGCCCAGCACCTTGGCTGAACTGGCTGTGGCTCCAGACATATGAAACCCAGATGTGGAATGGTGGCTTCTCATGAGTGAAACATAGTGAAACCTATAGCCTATAATTTGATAATTGTTAAATCATGTTAAATCCACCACACCTCATTTTTGAGTAATTATGCGCACACACACATACATATATATATATACATATTATCTCCGCGTGTTTTGGTTATACTGTGGCAAAACTGAAAAATATATATGAGAATATGTTAATCCCCATTGTTGTCATTAATCATGTAACCCCAAGAAGCAACAATCCTCATGGTTCTTGGCTCATTATTGGGCATACCCTTCTTTGGAACGATGTAATTTGATGGAGGTTTAGCCCACTGTCCGGTGATGTCCAGCTGATATGGTTGGCAAGGCATCCAAACTTAGCCATGCTACATGTTGAAGTGACCTCACATTTGCTTGAATATTTTTCTGCAGGGATACCTCATGAGAAGAACTGTCCCTGACTGGTCGGAACCCGACCTGAACATATCTGAACCATCATGAGAAGTATGTAACTGTAGGATACTGATGGATACTGCAGGTCCGTTCAAATTGTCACCCTGCTTTACAGTCACGTGTTCACGTCGCGAGGTCCTCAAGCTGCAATCGCTCCAACATCATGGCAGATATCCAGCAAAAGACCTGCAAGGCCTTCGAAGGCGCGGAAAGACCACTGTTTTCCACAATGTGATGATCTATAGATATCTATATGCAGTAACCCTCAAAAGGTAGAACAGATTAGCATATCGCAATGGGGGGTCTTCCCGCTATTTGGGAATCAGAATTCTGATCGGTAGATTGGTAGATGCCTGTTTTGGAGGAGGAATCTCATCCATAACCGGATGTGTTTATCAAGAATTGCCCGCGGCAAGGTTTGATTACCGGAAGGTATGCCGGTGAACGCAAAATTTAGATCAGCGTTGTTGTTCTATACAGACATACAGGTTGACAGTTTTTTTGTTTCAAGAATAACACGCTGGTTTAGCAACCAATGATAAACAGTGACCTGACCAAGCAACACTTGGGAAACTAATTATATGGGAGTTAACTACTTAAACAGGTAAACGTGACTTACTTATTGAAGACCGCCTTTGAAATACTACTACATGTTCCATTGCATGGATATTATGATATACAACACGATCATACATAAACAACATTGGCAGGACATACTATGAGTTTCATAGTTTGGGCGCATGGAAACACATCAAACAATTTTTCTGGTCACTAGGCTTGTCGGAGACGATGTATACATTTTCGCCAAGAACATGTGCACATTTTGTTGGGTGTGCTCATGCTGATGCTCACTGACTAGTTGATATATATATATTACACCAGTCGTGATATGTGTGTTTCCGAAAAATATTTCATACTTTCAAGTGTGTGGATGCATGTGCAAGATAGCCTCAGAAATTGTTGGTAAAACGCATGGCCCACGGATATCGACTGGCAGATTTGGATGTCTATCCCTCGGAAGTGCCGTTGGTGTGCAACAAGGCTCGGGTCCCCAGAAGCCGTGGAGCCACCAAAATGAGCCACCATGAGTATACAAGAACATTGCTGTCTCTTACTCTGCAAAAGGGACATCAGTTTTTTTTTTTTCCGAAGTTGATTTGCACATATAAGTTTAAGATAGTTTAAGTAAAACCTCCTCAAATGGGGGAATCATCGATCACCATGCTTGTTTTCCTCTTATTTCAGGCTATGTCATGTTATGTCATGATATTTCAGCATTATTTTCCGGATAGAACTTTAACATACTTCAACTTCATAATTGGTTCCGTGAAAACGATCTGAAACTATGGTGGATCTGTTTGTTAATTATTAATCAGAGGGCTACCCCCAATTTGTAACTCTCTACAAAATGGCACCCCCGAAATTCAACAGACCAAGGGGTTATGAATCCAGGATTGACATTACACCCGAGTCTTCAATCGTTGCAAAATTTTTGACAGGCCCGTAATTTTGGCCAAAATCACGAGGACAAGGAATGCGCTTTTCAACATAGCGCGAAGGGCCAATTAACCAACAATCTGGCCGCGAGTTCGGGCGCAAATTTACGAGGGGCGCAAGATCAGGAAAAACATTGGCCAATAATTTAAAACTGAAGGAGCACTTGAAAGTATCGAGCGTTCATGTCACTGTTCAATCGGTATTTTCGAAATTTTGGAAACAATGTTGGGGGAAACTTTTTAAGCTTTCGAAACAGGCTTGGGCTTGACCAGATCCATGCCTCGGTGCATGCCCACATCAGGTGATGTTAAAACACATCCTTGTTGCTGCCAGGCCCCTTCATGTCAATGTGTTTTCCATAGATGATCTTCCAAACACACAATGTGTGGGGCCCATGTATGTCTGGTTGGTGGTTTGGAACATGTTTTATTTTTTCATATATTGGGAATGTCATCATCCCAACTGACGGACTCCATCATTTTTTCAGAGGGGTAGGTCAACCAGGTCAACCACCAACCAGATGATACCAGATGTCCCTCGAGGACCTGCAGGTGGACAGCAGCCATGAGGCCCACGCCAAACGCGTGCGGGACTTCTATGCAACGATGCTTGGCGAAC